CAACTCTTCTTGGTGATGGATTTTAAAATCTAGTGAAGTAAACACGTCAGGAACAGCCGTGATTTCTTGCAGCCAGAAGGCGGGGAAGAAATTAGTCCTCTGTCTTGGCCCTGTGTTGCTGATTCTGAAAGCTGGTGACTGCCCACAGCGACAGGCAGTGGATGATACAGCCTGTGCTAGAGACTCTCTTGCCATTTCACTACTATCATTACCAAGGTTGTACTCTCTTGAGCAACACTTTCTGTATCTGCATTTTCAGAGTCAGGGAAGAGACAAGCTACCTGCCTCATTTAAAGTCAGCAGGATCTTTCCTCATTTCCTTTAGTAGGAGCAGTATAGCACTTCACTAGTCCTTGATGGTTTTATCTTTGTCTTGTTTTCCTTACATTCCCTTGTTTCTCTTCTCCCTTCTTGTACTGTTGTAGTTCGTTCTTATCCTACAAAAGTTATAAAGCTACTTTGCTTGAAGGTGCTGGTGTTTAGTTTCCCACAAAAGCATTATCCCACTCTCTCCTGATGCAGTGAAAACTACTGAAGGCAGACCCCAAACCTGTGGACTTGTGAGTACATTTTGAAGATCGCAAAACTCTATAATCAAACCCTGAAGAAACAGAACTGAGATCATACAGTGTATCACAGCACCATGCCCGTTACTTCTAGCGATTCCTAGGCATGAGCCTTTCACCTATCCTAACCACAAGGTAGTGACTAGGGCTGCTTTTTAAGCCCCACTGACACTGAGTCATTCAAAGGATATCAGAAGAAATAAGAAAATAAGATTTCTAGCTTGCAACAGCTTCCTTAGGCAAAGGGAATCCCCTTGTCCAACACTTGTTTTGTTGCTTATTTTTATAGATACTGGTCAGCCACAGGTATTCTAACTGTACTCATCTTTCACCTCTGTTCCTCATGCTTTAGGAGGATTACATTTGTTTTCTACTAACTGAACGTTTCTTTTCCCGGCTTACAAACCTTGCCAAGGTTGGAAATAACTCCTTTGAGAATCCAACAGTAGGCCAATTATTATAAGGGGTACATTTTAAGAACAGTGAGCTGTCTCCATTTTCATCATAGACAGTAAAGACCTCTAAGAACATTTATAGGCATCTTTGCATGACTTCATTATTAGTTGTATTTCTTAGGATGTGCAAATCAAAAACCACCGGCAATAAGGGGATAAGGAACATAAATGTTTGATTATAACGAAATCCATTCTTTAAAAACAGGCTGAAGTGCAACAACTACTGTTCTGGCTTATCATTCATTAGCAGGCAGTCATCAGAATAGAAGTGCAACAGACTTGATGACACTGCTTTTGCTGCTACAAGACCAAAGATAAGAACAGAAAATAAGAAGAGAATATATTAGATGGGATTATTATTAAAACATATATTTTGTGGTTGATTGTAAAGTATCTTCTTAGATTCACAGAAATCTCTGAGATCTTAAATAGCAACATTATGCAATAATAGACATCAGTTATTTACAGCAGCCAGAGAAATTAGTTGCTACTGAAAAGCAATACGATAGTTACGTCTCAAACAGACCAGTTTGTTCTTACACTGCATTTACACTCCTCCTGAAGCTGAATTGAACACAGGACTGAATTTGGTCCAAAGGCTGTAAGAACTGCTGAAAGAACCATTAAACATGTCACAATCGGAGCTTGGGTTGCTCACACTCATTCTGCAGGCTGCATCATGTTTCATCATGATGTAGCTCTCATGGAGCATAATGTGCAGGACAGCTGTGTGCTAGCCCTGGGAGGGCTGACTCTGTGATCTACAGTGCTCTTTCCCACGTCGTTAGTGGGATAATTTACTATGCATACTGGAAATCAAGCAGCAAAATACACGGGAAAGCACAACATCCTTAATGGTTTACGTTTGGATTCTGATTATCCACTTCTGGACCAAAATGTAACAGTTATTTTATTCTACTATTAAAAGAATTGGCACCAGTCTCATCAGGAGCACAGTATCAGATACTGCAGGATGTAAAGAGGATTGGAGGAAAGAAAAGGCCAGAAGTAAAAGACAGGGGTTTATGATTTCCTCTTGTGTAAAGAATGAATAGCCCATTGATCTGTTAAGCAAAAACTTTAATGATTTACATGAAGAAACTGATCTCTAAGTAGGAATCAGGCCTTAGTTAGGCATTAATTGGATTTCACCTACATCATAAAAAGGAAAAGGACAGCTTTCAGCTAGATCAGCTTGCTGCAGGGCTGCATGTTTGCCAATGCTGCAGAAGGCAGGTTACAGGAGTGCATAGCTGGAGTGGGAAGAAAGGATGAAGGCTCACCGCTTTCAGTAGCATTTAGACATTTTCTGGATGAAAGCACACATGAAATCATGATTTCAGTAGGCGAAGCCTCCCTCTTCATACTGCTACAGATGAGAGATGTGAATTTATTATTGCTTAAAACTTATGTTAAAGGTTGACACCTCCCTCAGCCCAACTTTTTTCCTCCTCCTTTATCCATGATTCCCCAGTTTGTGGGAGCTCCATGTGCATCAAGAGTAAAAGAGCAAAAGGAAAAAGCACTCACTGCAGAAGAACCTGAAAGTCTTTTGAACTCTATCCCACCTGCTAAGAACAAAAGAAGGCTTGAAACTAAACATATTACATTGCAACAAATCAGAAGAACAGTGAACATGGAGAGAAGTGCTCCAGAAATAAATGTTTAACAGGGTGTTAAACACATCAGTGTGCAGACAACCAAACAGTACAATGATGCAAAAGGGAAGACATGCCAATCCACCATCCTGCATCCCACCATTCCAGAAGGGAAGAACCTGCTATTGCAAGGTGCCAGAGAGCACTTTCACTCCTTATTTCTAGGCATTGAGCAGGTATCAGTCGATATGATCCTGCTTTATTATTCCCACCATTTTGATTCGAGGAGAGTAGAAAATGTAAGAAAAAGGAAGCCATGTATGTTTTTATTAAAGGTTTAATTTTGGTCTTCATTATGGGCATATGGTTACTTGCACTGATGCAGCGGGTCTTCAGTCAGGGTAAGAAATCATTCAAGATGAAAATGTTTTACAAAAGGTTCCGTGTTTACACTTTCAGGCACTGCAACACAGCACAAAAGACTACCCCGTTAAAGAATAAATGATGTATAAATTGATTTTTAAAATTATAACAGATGGGGATATTTTATAGATGACCTTGTAATTTTTAAGCAACTGGTTATTCTCACTTCCAGAGCAAGGTACTTCTTGTCAGACAAGTTGTTTGGAATTTCTGCTTTGTCATCAGCTCAATCTATAAAACTAAATAAAATTAAGAAAGTATCAACTAAAATAAACTGTGACAAGATGGTGAAAGTGTCCTATTTATTCACATGTATATTGCTATGGACAACCATAAACTGAAGCAAATGACAGGACACGCATCACCTATATTTAGTCTTACACACTGAATATGTATTTTGATAGCAATAAAATTAGTGCATAAAACTAAAGATCAGTAAGTCTGCACAGTGTCCAGTTATTGAATTAATAGTTTATGGTCTGTCTGACTTACAAGTACTGGCAAAAAGCAATGGCATAGTTGAGAGTAAATATTCAATGCAATAACAAGGTCTCCTGTATCCATATTTTTACACAATACTGTGTGCAGTGTTTAGCTGGATTGTAGGCTTTCTGCTGGCTGTTTCTACACAAATGTGTTTCAGTATGCAATATCAATTCCTGAAGACTATGACAATATCGACAGCATCTACCATTTGTTTATGAACTGGAAAGATTTATCCTTGATGATTGTACAGTGCCCCTTCATCCGGAGCTCTTCTCCTAGCTTTAGGTGGAGGTGTCATGAAACGATGGGCTAAATTTATGTTGACACAACGCCTTGGCATTCAGCCTCCCCCTCCCGGGACTGGACCGGGACACAAACGGTCGATCCACACGGGATCTAGGCGCTGCTCTTCACCAGGCAGGATACGATCCCCCTCGTCACGTCCAGCCTCTACCGCCGATCAGGGCATTCCCCACCCACCGCCACCGGGCCCCTCCAGGGCTGCGAGTTTGTTTGGCGTCTTCTTTATTTTTATTTTTTATCACTATGTTTTGGCTCGTGCCAGCGGGCTCGCCGTTGGCAGAGCGCTGCTCTCAGCCAGGCCAACAATACAGCCCGAGGGCGGGCCGAGGGAAGGAGACCACCCCCCTTCTCCCCGGGGAGCTGCCGCCTCTCACCGGCTGAGGGGCGGTCACCGCCTCCTGCCCCCTCCCCGCCAGGCGGCAGCCGAGGGCCGCCTCCCTGCCTCCCGCCGGCGCTGGCCGGATGAGTGGGACCCGGCGGCGGCTGCTGCGGATGAGCCGGGCGAAGGAGCTGGTGGCGTACTGCCTGCTCCTGGGGCTGTCCGTGCCCCTCCTGCTGCTGCTGCCGCTCCTCTGAGATGCGCCGGGCGGCGGCTCGCCCCCGCCGCGGGGGGACCGGCGGGAGGACCCGGGGGGCGGTCCCGGGGGCGGCGGCTCGCCCCCGCCGCGGGGGGACCGGCGGGAGGAGCCGGCGGCAGCCCTGCTCCGCCGCCCGGCGTGCGGCCGGCGGCAGCAGCATCCCGAGGCACTGACGCCCCGCCGGGGGAGGATGAGGCGCTGGGGCGAGCTCTGCAGCGGTGCCACCCAGCCTGCGCGGGCGGGCGGGCTGCCTCTCGCTGCGGGGGGGCCCGGCCGCGGCCCCGGCCGCGCTCTGCCCCTCTACAGGCTGTGATGCCGCCGCGCTCGCCGCTCCTCCGCCGTGGCTGACGGGGACGCCGAGCGGCGGTGTCGCAGCTTCCCCCTTTCGCCTTCCCAAGTTGGGCTTCGGTGGCTCGGGGCCGGGGCCGGCGGCGCCTCTGCCCCGGGGCGGCCCCAATGGGCCCGCGGCCGCGGGCACTGCCGCCGCAGCCGCCCTCCCTGACCCTGCGCCGGCCCCCGCCGGGCGGCGGCCGCAGCCGGGGGCAGCTGTAGCCGGGGGCGGCCGCGGCGCTCGCGTTGCTGCAAAGCCGCCGCTCTGCGGGGCGGAGTGTGTCCCCGCCGGCTCGCCGTGCGGGGAGGCGGGCCGGGGGCCGGCTGAGATGGGAGAGAGCATGTCCAAGAGACTGAAGCTGCAGCTGGGCGGCGAGGCGGAGATGGAGGAGCGGGCTTTTGCCAACCCTTACCCCGACTACCAGCCCCAGGGAGCCGCGGCAGCCCCCAGCGCGGCGGACGCCCACCGGGACAGGGCGCTGCTGCCCCCGGCGGAGGAGGAGTCCCTCCCGTTCGGCGCCGATGGGAAGGTGAGTCCCGGCAGGCGGGCAGGCGGTGCGTCCCGGCCCCGGCTCGCCGCGCTCGGCCTGGCCCGCGGGGCGCTCCCTCCCGGCGGAGCGGCGGCCCCGGGCGCGGGCGGCCATGGGCGCTGCCCCGGGGCGGCCTCCGGCGGGTCCCGGGCCCGGCGGCGCCGGGGCGCTGCCCCTGGGGCTGCCCCCGGCCTCCACCGCCGCCCCTGCCCGCCCGCCGAGCGCGGGGCGGCTCCACAGGCACAGGCGGCGGCTTCGGAGGCGCCCGAGGAGAGGGATCGGCTGGGTGAGCTGAGGGAAGGAGCGGGAGCTCAGCCCGGCCTCAGGGCTGGGAGCCGGCCGGAGCGACTGTTGTTCGAGCTGTTTGTTTTACCTCGGAACGAGAGTGAACGCGATGCCCGATCTGTAGAGAACAGAACAGCTGTATAGCAGAACAGCTATAGCTGCGCTTACCGCGGTGGTTCTGTCACACAGAACAAGTCGCCAGCACAAGTAGCCCGAGTTCCACCAGCGAAAGCGCATAGGGAAGGGAAAAGATGAGCGCCCATCTGGAAAAGAAGAGTTTCTTCTCAGGTGGCAGTGACACTCAGGCCTTGGGTGATGCTGGACTGTCCTCTGCCAGGCACGTGTTTACTGACATACACACGGTTATAGCTTCAGGTACACCTTGATAGGCACCTGGCAGTCGGTTCATGCCCGCGGAAGATATGTCTAGAGGCTCTAGTCGCCCAGTGTTTGCAGTCCTCCAGCTCTGTTTATCTTCTTGACACCACATGCTGCTGCTTGGGGAACTGTGAGTGCCTTAGGTTTTAAGTACAGAAGCTGCCAGCCGGCTGGCTTAAGCTGCAGAAGGAATACCAGAATATAGACCTGCTGTCATTTTAGCCCCGGAGCAGCCTCATCCTTCGATACTGTGCTGCTTTGTCATCTTTTGCATATAAAACACTGCATGGTGACATTGCTAGAAGCACAAATGCGCCAGGGGTGGGAAGGTAACTTTCTAACTCACTTTGACTGTATGCTGGGGTGAATAAAGGAGAGACATTAATATCAGCTCTGTATTTTTCTGCATGTGGAAATAAGGAGTTACCTTGACTTACTGATAGGGTGGTAGGTGGTGATGCTGAACAGTGAGAGGGGCTTTCTCTCTAAGCATCATAAGTATCAGCAGAACAACATCAGCTCACCATCCATCCAAGGCAATGACAGGTTTCACTAAGTTGTTCTAACAGAGGTTTATGAAGTTGTATGTGGCTAAGCAGAGTGCACAAAAGAGAATACTTTAGAGGTTCAGTGTCTTAATACTGCAGCTAATTGCAGCTGTCAAAAGCAGAGCATTTGAGAAGGTTTAAAAAGCAAGAGTAGGTTCAGAAGTGAAATCTGCTTTGTTCTTTACAAAAATCCCTGGTAGTATACTCAGTGTTGGTAAACTTATTTTTTTTTGCAGAAGAGAACTGTGATTTGTTTGTTCTTTTGTATCTGGCTTAGTATATAAAAATCATCCAAGTATGATGAGTTCAGGTATGAAGGCAGAGAGGATACAGCTATAGCTACATATTGTTCTTAAATTGATAAAAAACATGCCAAGAACTTTCTTCTAAGGCCTTCTGTAGGCCAGTCATCCTTCTTATGTACCTGCTTTAGATCCCCCACTTCATGTCCATATTTTAAAAGAGAAAATAAGCCTTCATTTACTGCTGATTTGGGTTGACTACAGCTTTCTAAAGTGAGGTAATCAGAAGAGTAGTGAGATATCAGAAGAAAGTGAACAACTTAAAAATTATTTTTTAGGGCATACTAGCAGTATTGCAGATAGTTCAGCTCTAATTTACTTCAGATTTGATTTTTGAGTGAATCCAAGTTCAGAGACATTGTTCTGTGGCAGAGGTGGAATTAGTTAGTCAAGAATTTCTAGCCCTATGTTCACATTGGGGATGCCTGTTCTGCTCTGCTGTGGGTGAGTATGCTGTTTTACAGTGTGTGCAAATGTTTTTTCCCAGCATCAGTGCTGGTGACATTCCTGTGATATACCCTGTGGCAGTCAGCAGCTATTTATGTTCAGAAAACATGTTAGATCACCTGCATAACTGTGTATTTGATAAAAGATGGTGTCTGGGCTTTGTTACATTCAGAAGAATGAAGCTCCTCCGGGAAAAAAAAAATCTTCTGTACTGTCTTAAAGCCATGTAACTACAGCAACTTTCAGTGGTCTTTGAATTCTTTCAACTCTCTACATCTCATAGGAGAAGGCAGATGTGAGTGTACATTTTCATTTTGGTTTTGCATCTATAAAATCTGAGGAATCATCTTACATATTTCTGGGCTAGAATATAGCTATGAATATATTTATGTGTATTTATATTCTTTGCAGCATTGCATGTTGTCCTTCCTAGTATTATCCTTTTATGAGACTTCATGATGGGTACTTTGGGGTGCTTTTGTTCTTGTTGTTTATGATTTTTGATTTGTGGTTCAGTGTTTTATTTTTGCCTTTAGTAGGCTCCCATTCCATCAGATAATTTGTCTTTGCCTGCCTAAAGCCCCAATGAAGACAAAAGGACTTTACATAGGCTAGGAAGTCTGTTCTGTAAACTGCTGTACACAAGAACACAAGTTTCCTAAAAATGAGAGCAGCTTTCAGAAGCCCTCAGTGAACTGCATAATTTCTCCCTCCCATCTGCTGCTGAGTTGAGCGGTGAGCACTGAGTGACTCACATAATGACAGCCTGAGGTGTGCGTGGCTCTGCTGTTGTCATGGAAGGCAATGCATTATTAATCTCTCCATTTGATTTCTTATGCTGTCTTGATTGCCGTCTAAAATTCATCAGGTTGATAAAAGGACAAGAAGCTCTTCAAGTCATTGTCTGAAATGTGAGACAATTGGGACAAAGTGCTGCATATGATAGTATGTGTTTATATGCATAAGGTACAGTTCAGGAAGCTTGAAGGTATGGGAGCAGGAGAAGAGAAAACAAAATCTGAGGCTGCTGATTTGCCGTCTTATAAATAGCCACAGTAAACACTGCAGTTATCTGCATGGGCTCTGCTCATGTAGTTGAAATTCACTGTTTTCATTACTAGATTTCTTCACCATTAAAATATAAGGGACTTGAATTGTCCCTGTAACTTGTCTGAGAATGCTGAGGTAATAATTCACCAGACAGCATTAATTCAAGATTGAGAAGAAACATAATTTTAAATGTAGATCTTTGTTTAATAAATGATGAATCTTTCAAATAAATATATGTCCTGTAGCCCTTTCCCTTTTGATGTGGGTTCCATCGTGATCCCTTAGCCTAAAAAAGTACCTATAGATATTATCTCAGAGTTGTCCAGAGGTTTTCAAAATGGAAATCTAAATGGTCAGGGGAGGCAGAGAAATGAATAGACAGCTATAGACTCATAACAAAGAATATTCCCTAGTTCTTAGTTCTCTAATGTGATAGAGAGCTACAAAACTAATAAATTTCTTGGGAAGGGGAAGGGTGGAGAGCTTGCAGAAAAGAGATGGTGATGACTTGTTCTAGGACCTGTCTCTGTGAGTGACCTACCAAGATCAACCTCAGATTGTCCCCTGTCCTTGGAGCCACCACAGCTCTGTGGCTACATTCATAGTACAGTCGGGTGTGATTTGGGATCGTCCTTTACGCTGACTATGGGCCAGTGACTTGGGAACTGAAGCAGGCTGATATTAATCTGTTCAGGCAGGGGAAGGTGGGAGCCTGGGCAACCTGATGAGGATTTTGTGTGTGTGCAAAAAAAGCATCCTTGTCATCAAGAAATTATCACAATCTCAGCCCTCAATATAAGGTTGTCTGAATTTGTTTTGGAATCACAGGGCAGCACCGAAATTAGATTCAAATTTTATGGATACCCAAACCATAGCTTCTTTTTTAGGCCAGTTCATTCTTGATACGTTTTTTTTTGACTTGCCATAATGTTTCAGAATTATTAGTAAAATGTGGTGTGTTCTGAAAAATGTGTACAATGTACTTCATAAAGCTTTGCAGGGGGCTCTTTACAGGGAACATATTTTAAAGATAATGGTGCTCATTGGCAATTAACACTTAATGGTGATACAGAATATTTACTTAGATTATAATTTGAGTGATTTAGTAGGTTTCTCAATCTTCTGTTATTTCTGATAATTCCTTTATCTGGCTTTCAGTCTTCCTTCTCCTTTAAAATATATTTTAAAAATATATTAAAAGTCCTGTCATCATTGCCTTGCTCTTCTCCCTTTGGTGTTTTCTTGTAATTTTTATCTCACTGGGCATTTTAGTTGTCTCACTGAGAGCAACAAGTTCTCTCTGTTCTGAAACTGACTCCTCAGTGACAACTTACACTAGTGAGAATTATACAACTCATTGCACTGGAGGCAAAATTGAAATTCTAGAGCCAGTAAATATTTCTTCCCATTTTTTTTTTTTTGCCAGAGATGTGGGGCAGCTGCATTTCTTGAGATTGACACTTTTTTGGCCATTTTCTGGCACCCCATCTATTTTGATAGAGGATTCTGAAACACACATGATTGGCAGTACTGTCCGAGTTTCTTTTGAGAGAAGGTTTGTTTTGCTTTTTGTGAGTCTTGGTCACAGTTAAGTCTGCAAATCAGTGTATTGTACTTCATTGTCCCTTACTAACTCATGGCACCTAGTGTGCCAGCCTGAGAGGAAGAACTGCTGCTTCTTCCCTGCAGCGCAGATCAGCACTGAATGCTGCTTAGTGCTTTTCTGAGGGTCTTTATTGAAAGCCTCTCCTGCTATTCAGGACTTTAACTACATATTGACTACTATTTGGTTTTAGTCAATCAGTTTTGAATGAAAATACTTTTAAAGTTCAAAACCCAAGTTCTAATTAAAATTGTCTCGCATCCATCTGCTCTTCATCGGTTTCTAGTTTTATCTTGCAGACCTCCATGTTAAGGAGATGTTACTCTAGCTGGTTGTGTGGCAATTGTAATAACAGGTATTTGCTTTTTGGTGAAAATAAATTTTATTTTTATTATCTGCACTGATCTGCTGTCAAGCTCAATATGTGCAATATATCTGTTCTCAGTGCATCAAGATAATTTAGACAGCATTGGTAGAGGTTTTAGCTTCTTTTGCAACTTGAGCACCAACTAAAAATGTCACAGCTAGGCCAGAAACTTCTGTGTAGTGAGTGACTTTAAATCATACAACAGATTTTTATCTTCTCAGCTTTCGAGAATTAGCACACTGGTGTTAGGCTACCTGGAGGACCAGTGATTTTCAGTATTCCTCTTTTTATTTATCAGCTTCCATTTTCCAAAACATAGGATAATGTTCCTTGGTATCTGTTAATCATGTTTATTTTTGTTACCAATAATGTGAAGCTTTTTGATGACTCTTTATGATGATCTAAATATTTAAGCGTTGGGGTTTTTGCCATCTTATCACCAGTGAGACAAATAGCTTCTTTTGCACAGAAATGCATTAGAAGCATGGTCTCCTTATTTCTTCCCTGCTTTAAACAATTTTTTTTGTAACTTGAATGGTTTGCCTTTTAATGATTTTTTTTCATGCCCTTATCCACTCTGAGACAGGGTGTAATGACTGCGTTTAAAGCCTATTCCTAAGCTGACATTTTTAGCAGTGCAGTAGTTTGCCTACAGCTATTGATTTCTCTCTCTCTTTCTCCCTCTCCCCTTTTTTTTCCCATTATTTCCCCCCCACACTGTCACATGGATGGTACTAAGTGCTGGATCGCTGAAAAACAGTGCAATGTATTCTACAGGCAGCACTGTTTCCAAGCATTTATTAAGCATGTGGTTTTGCAGAACTGGCAATTGTTTCTGGAAGGACCTATCTGAGGAGTAGCAGAGAACTGTGTTTGATTGGTTCAAAGGCTGGGTGATGAGGTTTCTTAGTATCTGGTGTTTTCGGAGAAGGAAAAAAAGCTGCTCTTGGAGCTGTAAGAGTCTTTTGATTTAGGTAAAAATAAAGTAGAAGTTGATTTTCTGTTCAAAAAGACAGGTCACCTCCCAGCAGACCTTGCTAGATTCTGCATATGGGATCCTACTGCCATCCCTTCTTGTGTGCTTTTCCAGGAGCTCTGTGGAGGTGAGCGTGAGACTTACCCGTGCTCCAATGCGCGGGTGTGAAACCTGGCTCTCTTACAGCCAGTGGCAGAGTTCCCGATGATTTCAGTACGGCCAGGATTTCTTGTTTCGGTAGAACTGTGAGTTGTCCCTTACCCAGGTCTTCCTCGCCAGTGTATCTCATGTCCTTTATGCAGTCTTTTATGCAAGTTTGGTTTTTGAATGAGTTCTTGCTGCGGTGCCAACTTGAGTTGTATTTTCTTCTCTGTGAAATGCACTTTGTCTGAAAGAAAACTGAGCACCATGTTGTGTGTCCTGTTTATGAAGTTTCTAAAGCCGCCTTTCGACATTCATTTCATCACGTAATTAATTTATTCTAGTCCATGTAAGCATCTGTTATAAGCTTATAGGAGAATCTCATAAAACAAACAGTGACAGTGGTTGATTGTTAAAGCTTCAGAGCAACCCCCCCAAAAAAAAAAAAGAGGCAGTGGTGGAGGGGTAGATAACTGGGGAAGACTTTGTTGTCACTTAAAACTTTTTTACACTGATACAAGCTTGGGAATAGCTTTGCTTGGGATGACAGATAATTATAATAAAAATATTCTTTCATCTATGTTTTTCCAAGCACTGAATCAAGACAAGTTACAATTCCCATCTTAAGGAGGGATATGCCAACCTGAGCTAAATTATTTGTATGGGACTGAGGTTTCAAAGCAGAACTCAGGCATTATGATGTCCTAGTGCTCCCCTCCTGCCTCTAAGTAATTTAGTCTGGTGTTTAATATAAAATATGCTGATTTGGTAACAGCAGGTGTATTGTCAGAACAAAAAGATAACCAGCCTGCTTGTGATATGCAGTAGGTAAATAAATGGGGAGTCTGAAGCCTTAGTTCACTCTTGTCAGATAAGCTGAGCACTATGCCTCAGTGCATCCGCATGAATATCCTCATGCTGTTTCACCATATGCCTTAGCATTGGCGTAGCTGTCTTTTGAAGGAGAGAATCCCTGCCCTTGGGAAAGGTTTTGCTTTGTGTTGAGACTTCACTGAACTAGTCAAAAGTATGTGTGTGGGAGTCTTGTGTGCAAGTGGTACAGTTTCCTAACAAAAAGGTGCTTCACACCATATTAAGACTGAAGAATAAAAGACATCAGATGCCTACTGAGATTGGTTGCTATTTCCAGGGTTACTGGAGAAGGTTAAGGGGTCTCTAGCTTGTTTCTAGGATGGTATGTGTGCAATGTGAGATATAACTGCACAGTTTCCTTCTCCCTTCCTATCTTACCACCATAAAATGGATTTGAACCATTGACCCTGGAGACTTCTGGTGTGTCAGAAGCCTTGTGCAATTACTACTGAGCTAATTTCTCTTTCTCCAGTGAAAAAATCATAAAAGTACGTGTGTTTAACATCAAACTAAGTCTTCTCCAATCTGATTTGTTCCAGCTGCTTTATGGGAGCAGGTTAGAGAAGCAGGAGGTGGAAGGAGATCAAGCACTGTTCAGAAAACAGTAGTTTATTCTCAGTGTAAGCTGAAAAGTAGCCAAATTGTGTAATCCCATTTTTCTGATGACTCTTGGTGGCTCTTGGTCTGGGAGTTGGGGAAGCTGTGCTGACTTCCATCTTCCTAGAGAGTTTCTCTTCTGGCTGCTCCTGGATAACTAATTTATGTGTGGCAAGTGAGGGATGTATGCCTGGGACTTTCCATAAATGATGGAAAACACATTCAGGAAATATTTTGGGGTGGCATAAGGTTTGTGCACATCACAGTTTTTGTCAGAGTGATGCTAATATCTAATAATGATAAAACTTTTCCTATAGCCCAGAAAGGGAGGATTTTTTTTTCTTCTCTAGCTCTGTAGTAGATAAATTACGCTAAAAGTAAAACTAGCCCTATTTTAATCTGTAAAGTAGTTTTTAATAAATGTGTTAATAGGAAAAGCTGATCAATAGGTGATACTGTTAAGTTTAAAAAAGCCCCAAACCTAACTGAAAAAACTCCCAAACAGGATTGGTGTGCCCACTCAAATGCAGAGTTGTCTTGTGAAAGGGCTTCATGAATACTCTTTGTCATGGAAGTTAATAGGACAATAGATTCAAGTTAATTAACTATTTCCATGTACCATAGGCTTAAAGGAGTAATCAGTAGCTTATCTTCCCCTAAGGTATGCATCATGAGAGAGAAATGTTGGCAATAGTAAAGTATCCTCTATTATATTTCATACATATCATCTATATAAACTTTTCTTGGTCAAAAGTAAAAGCAAGCAGTGTGTAAAATCAGAGTTGTTTCTTTGCCTTCACACATGAGCTGAAGCTGCTGAGCTACTTTTACTCACCCTCTTTGTGTCTAGCTCTTTCTTAGTTGTGCATTAATACATCACTGCTTTGAACAACCTCCTCATCATAAAGCATGTCAGTCCCAGTATTGTTTTGGATATAGAAGAGAGCAAGAAGTAGGAGGAAGGACACTTAGGCAACTTGACTTCTAGGTGGCAGTCACAAACTGTGACATCAGAAAAAGTTGGATTTAAGAAGAAAATGTGTCTACACCATGGATTATGTGATTGAGCACATCATTAAAAATGATGGCTTGACTTCGACTTGATTGTTTCGAGTATGAGCATTTATTTTCCTTAAACTATTTCCTGTTCCGTTGTGCCACAAAGGATGTGCAGGGACCTTGTAATGAGAGCAAGCACCTATAATACAGGGCTTGTGCTGTGTTTGTCCATAGTATGGTCTTGGTACCAGGACCCTGAATGGAGTATTGTCCCATGGAGTGGCAGCAGATGGTTATCTTCTGTTTGCTTCTATTCACCTTTACTCAGTTTGGAGAAGCTTTCTTTACTGTATTAAGGGCCTGAGATAAGAGGCAGAGTAGAATTACATATTGTCACAGTGTCCATAGCTGCTCTTTGTGTGACTTTAAAGCATCCCCAGATAACTTTTGTCTAATGTAGATCCTAGTAACTTGCTCTAATATGTAGTCAGAAGGCATTTATGTGGGATATGCTTAAGGTGAACCACCTTGATGTTATTGTTTGCTGTATGTGGTATTTATTCCCTAGTTCTTTTTTGCTTGGTTGGGTTTTTTTCTCAAACGAGAAAGTGGAGCAGACAGTTTAAATTCTTGGATTCTTTCCTTCTTTGACTCATTCCCTGTCTCCTGTTTTCAGGTCAATGCTCGGTTTTCTAAACGGATCCAGGCAAAAATTAAAGACCTTCTGCAACAAATGGAGGAAGGGCTGAAGACCGCAGATCCACATGACTGCTCTGCCTATACTGGGTGGACTGGTGAGAAAGCTAGAATTTGGTTGAAGCGTATTTGTTGAATGATGTAATTGGGTTTATTCACAGGAGAAAATTCTAATATTCTCACAGGAGTGGCAGAAATACTCTGATAAAAGCAGTTGTGTGAGTTGGTTTTTTGTTTAACTCTGGACCCTTGATCACTACTGTCTGGAATGAATGACTTCCTTTGACTTCAGCAGACAGAGGTACAGCGTGATATTTTCCTTTTGTCTGTGGAGATCTTTGTCTTGTGGAAGAAGTGGATCTTCTAAGGCTGCTCTTTCTTTCTGCTTACCTCTTGTTTCTTTGTTTTTGTGTTTTTTTTAAAAATAGTTATTTTTCACCTTTTTCTGTTCAACTGAGTATTAGTTAGCAGTTTTCTAATGATAACAGCGTCTTCTAATCAGTGGGAGTAGGTGGGGAGAATGTGTTCTGTGCCCAGGAATTTGGAGCCTTAAAATCTGCAATATGGATACTTTGGCTGTGCTTGTTCCATCTCTACAAAAATGGTAAAATGAACGTGTGAGGAGAGGGAGTGTAGAGGTGAGGTTGTAAGATTGTAAAGATCATGGAGGTAAATAAGCATGTGCAGGTGCTGGTTATTGCTAGGGACCATCATTCATTTAGCATTGCATCACCAATGCTGTTCAGCTGTGAACGAGCCTTTATGATTGCTGGGATTTAACCCCAGCAGTATCATGCAGCTGATACCCTGCCCCTCCTACCCTCCCCCTCCCGCAGTGGGATAGGGAGGAGAATTGGAAAAAAAATTCATGGGCTGAGATAAGAAGGGTTTAATAACTGAAACAAAGTAAAATATAACAACAATAATAAAACCAACAGCAATAATAATAATTGTAATGAAAAGGAGGGAGAGAGAGAGAGAGAGAAGAATAAAACCCAAGAGAAACGAGTGATGCACAATGCCATTGCTCACCACCTGCTCACCAATGTCCAGCCTGTGCCTGAGCAGTGATTGGTGGCTTCCTGCCATCTCCTCTCAGTTTATGTACCGAGCATGACATTCTGTGGTATGGAATATCCCTTTGGCCAGTTCAGGTCAGCTGTCCTGGTCACGCTGCCTCATGGTTTCTTGTGCATATGGTTCTTGGCAGAGCATGGGAAACTGAAAAGTCCTTGACTTAGAGTAAGCACTGCTCAGCAGCAACTGAAACATCAGTGTATTATCAATGTTATTCTCATACTAAATCCAAAATACAGCACTGTACCAGAAGAAAATTAACTGTATCCCAGCTGAAACCAGGACACTGGTCCTTTAGGGAGAGCCTACAGTTGTCAAGTCTGATGTGGCCACTCTTCTCAAGTTGCCAAAATGCTTTTCCATCTAGGCCTCTTAAGTGTGACTTTTCTGGAATGAATGGCTTATTCTGTTTCTGCTCTTCTAGCTCACACTTCAGGCATACTTATGCTTTTAGCACAGCATGTTTGAAATGTGCCCTGAGGAGATCTATTCTTTTATGTCATGAGAGGGAGTAGCTTGGAAAAGCTCTCCATCCTTTGCCCATCCTTAGGCTTAATTCTGGCAATGAAAGGGTAAAATTTCTTTGCTTTCTTCTTGATGTTTCAGTACAGATGGTGCTGTGGGTGGATGGGTGGGGAAGTTTTAGACAACTCAGGCTTAAAAGGTAGATGTATTTCAAGGTCTGAAAGCGAGTGGCTGCTAAGTGAGTGCTTTCTTGCGCTGACAGTACCAAACCTCTCCTGAGGAGCTGTGTTCTGACACTGTGATTGACAGCTGAAATTATGGCTGATAAACCAGAGCATGCTGAAAATGAGTCATAAGGTAAAAGTAACACAGCCATCGTTAGCTGAAACAAGAATATAGATGAACAAGTGATGTTGCCTCATGAGAGTGAGGTTTTTCCATCCTGTAGAAGGATCGCTATCTACATCTGTTCCAAGCTGTGAACTTCTTTCAGGGCTCCTGTGGATGTAGTTCTGCATAAAAATGTTTAAATTATCTGGCTTTAAACATACTTATTGAAAATACTTTCTCCCCAGACTTACTCTTTGCAGCATTTTGCTAGTGTGCAAATCACAAGGCAAAAGCAGTGCCGTAAACAACTTGCCTGCTTTTATGTACCAAGTCTAGGCTAGTCTTATGGGCAGTGCAGTCCTGTGCACTGGCTTGTACTTTTTGAAACACTTCCAAAATCTTGGAGCATGTACTGTTGGCACGTAGCAATCTTAGGACCCATGTAAGAGTCCATCTTGCTTATACAAGTACTCTTTGTATGTGCCAGACCTCTTGGAGAAGCCATTTTAAGGGTGTTGCACTAAGAAGCACTAGGAAGGTTTGGATGAACTGAGCTTCATGGCTACTTTTCTGATCATCCTTTGATCAAGCCCACGTATCTACACATTTGTTGCAACATAAAAAAGGGTTCCACAAATCTTTGTAAATAGCCCACAAGTTCCTGTGACACTGAATTGGGCACCCCAGCTCTGCAGCTTTTTTCTTAGACTCATCTAGAAAGACTTGTTCAGAACCCATCCAGGGAACATCTGAGAATGTACCAGCACTCCTGTGGTGCTGTTGTTCTTGTACTACTCAGTTGCCTCTCTATGAGCTTTGTGGGCCTTGTGTGTACTTGGCTTTAGTTGAGGCTAAAGTTGAAATGGATTTGAGTTACAGTGTGGTCTGGAGGTGATTTACTTCTGCACATGCGTGCTTGCAATTGGCCAATAGACATCCACTCAGATGGGTTTGTTTCACCTTCTTCAGTCTACGTTGTTGCAATTTTTAAGGGTTTTTTTTTTGTTTTAATGGAAAACTATGTAATGAGTTTAATGGAGTGAAGCTTGATAGTACCTCCTGGCATTCTCCAAGCACTTGTTTGCCTTCTAGCTTTTACAAACCAGCTTGACTTGTACAAGCTCGTAGTCTTCTTTTAAGGGTTATAAAGAATTCGGCAAGTTGAATCCAAAAACTCGTGGAACGATCGTTTTACGAATCAAATGGGAAGTCACTTCTTGCATATAATAGATGAGTATTGTACAATTAGTGTACTCGGTCATACACATGCTTGTTAGCTCAAGTTTTTGAATCTTACAGTGATTTCTTTGCCAAGCATTGAGGCAGGTGTCATGATTTTTCTTCTTTTTCTGCAAATTGTGAGTCTACCACTGGGCTTCAGTCTGATAATTTTTTTATTTTTACCACAATCCAGATCAAAATTTAATCAAAATAGATGACCTGCTGCCTTCACGTTGCATAAGCTAAGCCCCTTGACTGACATGTTTTTATTTCCCAAATACCTGTTCACATTTGAGTAACTGCTTCAGAGGCACCAAAGAGAGGAAGGAAATGTAAGTGAAACTATCTCTTTTTTATGTGGCTGTTTCAGGTATCGCCCTCCTATATCTGCAACTGTACCGTGTCACAAAAAACCAGAGCCATTTGCAGCGATCTCTTGATTATGTGAAGAGAATCCTTCGCAATCTGAACGGCAGAAGAGTTACTTTCCTCTGTGGTGATGCTGGGCCATTGGCAGTGGGTGCAGTGGTTTACCACAAACTGAAAAACGACAGTGAATCTAAAGAATGTGTTGCCAAGTAAGTGGTTAATGGGGGAAAAAGCCATGCCCTTTATTTGTAGAGAGTTTTGTTTCAGAAACTTTTGCAAGTGGAGTTTTAGAGGACAAGATTAAAAAATGGAGACACTTTCTACCATGATACATTTTCAGTAGAAGAATACAAAATGGGCTTTATTAAAGCTGGCTTACACTTGATTCATGTTTGCAGGTTATCTTGAGCCCTCTATCACTGTTAGGACATGATGTACTGGGCATATCTGTAGTGCACGCACGTTTTCATTTTGTCACATTGAAGTGACATTTAGCAAAAGCCACACGCTTGTCATCAGCAATATGTAGTGCTTGTGCAGTATATGATGCTTTCTGTAAAGAGTAGGTCTTAATTTTAGATTCATTACAAAACATGTACACAACAGGATCTGGAAACAACCAGGCAGAAACACAGTACATCGACTTGATATGTAAAAAAGATTTAATAAAGAGAAAGTATTTCCAAGAGTAAATTTGTAAAGGCAAGAGTTTTAATTAGGTCAGACATATGAAGGTTACCTGAAGAAATTCCAGCACCTTCTCAGAGTAATCTAAATGTAACAAGTGTCTCAAGAAGTCCCATTTAGATGTAGCTTCATTACAGAACTGACTGTCCTTCGCTGGTACAGAGCTGATTGCTGTCCTAGCAAGGGCTGGAAGCACTGGAACCCTGTGGGATTTGCATTTGGCACCAGCAATCCACTTGCTAGTTGTCCAGCAATGTACCTTAAGCTGACAGAATTTGTGACTAGGTGTGGTAGTTTGGTCTGGGCCTTCCTTGGTGACCAGTTTGTAACCAAGGAAGGGTCCAGATTTACCCAGTAATCCCTACGATTTTTACGTAAGCCAGACTATAAGAAGAAAGGAGGAGAGGCCTTCGCTGTCTTTCCTTCCAGCGGCTTGGAGGTGCAGGTTCTCTGCTGTTGAGTCTGCTGTGTTGGGGAGCGAGGCCTGGTTAGGCCTTGCCGACTTTGGGAGGCAGAGGTTGCCGGCAATCGTTCCAGAGCGACTCTCGGTTGTCCCAAGGAGAGTAGTGAGATATTTCTTTGCTAACTTTTTTTTTAGTTGTTAGATATTGGGCTACTAATCGGGATATATATATATGTATTTTATTTTGGTTTTGTTCCTTTTCCCCTCCCCCTTCCCGTTCCCTTGTGAAATTATATATATATTTCAATTGTATATACCTGTAACATAAGTGTAAATATATATATATATATATTTTTATATATATCACTTTAGCTGTCTGTCTCTCGTTTCGGGTTTTCTTAGTTGTTTTTCTCCCTCTTCTCCCTGAGGTTTGGAGTGGGGGGGACACTTCTTGTGGTAAGGTTTGGAGACTTGGCAGGGAACCAGCTTCAAACCATATCACTAGGCTTATGTCCTCATCTCCATTCTGGTTTATATTTGCAAATGTAGTTGGTCTCTTTCTAATCTAGAATCCTACTGTGATTAATCTCTGCTGCGGTTCATGAACGAATACTTCAATTTTGAAATGAGTGTTAGGTTTGGGGTTTTTTGCTTTTAGAACTGGCAGTAAACTTGAGCATGTCATTTTGGATGCAGCTTGGAAAGCAGTCTTGTTGTCAAGCATGAAGCATGAGTATAGCAAAATGAGATTAGCAATAAATCTTGGTCTTGCCTCTCCTTGGAAATAATTTTCAGGAGGAGCAGTGAAAAGGAGTTTAGTTTGGTTATTTGTGTATTTTATTCCTTTTTGTTTACAAATATACTCGTGACACCAGGTGAGTGGTGCATTGTAAATGTTGGAATGTAGTCTATGATTTCACTTCTAACTTTTTACCTTGTAGCTGTCCACTTGTGTGATTTCAACAATAAAATTTAACGGTGAACAGTTTAGAAGAAAATAACTTAATTCTAAGTCCAAAGCATAATTTCAAGAAAGGAATGATAATATAAACCCCTTTTTTTGTGAATGGCTTTTCTGTAGAATTAAGCAGTGACAGCATAAACACACGATTGAGGTCAGTGGTTTTGCTCTGGCATGACATTAATGCTAACATTTCTGCCAAGAAATAGCAGCTGGGGGGATCTGGGAGTTGAATTTGGTCTTAATCCAGATTGTCTTTCCCCCTCCCACAATTTAAAATGTGATCATTGCCATGGTTTCATCTAAGTACGAATTTAATCACAAAAGATAGGAAGAGACAGGGAGGGAGTGGGCAGGAAAACAGATCTCTGATCCACCTCAGTGCTAATGCAGACGGGTGGAGTATTTAGCAGAGAGTCTCTTTGGAGAAAATGAGAGTTGTGGTGTCCAGCCCAAGGGTTTTTTGATTTTTTTTGTTGTTGTTGTTTTTCATTGCTAAAAGCAAGCAAAACACTAGTGCATAATAGTAGTGTCCTTTTCAAAACTAGGGTGCTAAATGTTTGAGACAGTGTGTTGTCTTGGGAGAGGGAGTGCTGAATGGTGGTATTGGATGTTTTTGTGTGTTTGCTTTTTCCCCTCTTACACATCTACAATTAAGGGTTTGTCAGTTTGGTGAAACTCCCAGAGGCTCTAGGAGGTTTCTGTCTTTGTTGGAGTAGCTCTCCAGCCTCCTCCAACCCCTACCCTGCACTCATACATCAGTTTCTATCTGCACAAAACCCTGACAATTTTACTAATACTGACCTGACTCTGGCTCAGTTTCCTGTCTCAGGGGTGGCAGGCATGCAGAGCTCCTGTGTGTAAACCTGGCAGCCAGCTGAACCTGGGGATGACTGAAGGGAAGTGGTAGGGCTTCACCACTCGTTCTGCTTTGGTTTTGATTGATAGCTTGTACAATGCATCGTCCTGTATGGTCTCTACAGAAGATACTCTCTTTCCCCACTTCCTTGTCTGATGCAGGTTGTTGCAACTCCAAAGGACAGTCATAAGCACAGAGGCTGAACTTCCAGATGAGCTGCTTTATGGCAGAGCAGGTTACCTGTATGCCTTGCTGTACCTGAATACTGAAATTGGTCCAGGCACTGTCCCACAGTCTGTTATCAAAGAGGTAAGAGACTTCTCTCTCCAGCATCACAGCATCAGTGAGGTTGAACTGGGATCACTCCCTTGCATCATTCAAGGGATTAAGAGAGGGGTGCTGGAGAGGAGAGGAACTAGAACTGGGAAACCAGTCTTGTCTGTGCCTCCAGTCTCTTCCCCCTTTCCCTGCTGCCCAGCTGGGACTGAGACAGGCTAGTGTGGGTGGGTTCACATCCACCCATGAAAATAGGTCTAATATGTAACTAGTTTTGGAGCATTTGAGGATGAGACATTGATACAAGAAAGTGGAAGTGTTTAAGTGAAAAGAAGGAGTAATCAATGTGGGGAATATTCATGACTGTTTTGCAGATACCACAACCAGAGAAAGCAGGCCTGGAAAAAAGTGATTAGTAATATTTATATATTCAATTTCTACTCTTTAAAATAAGTGATTTCATCATTAAGGAAAAATACAATTTCTACCTCAACATTCAAATCCAAATGAATTGAATATTTTTGTCCTAAGACTGTTTATAGTGGTTTATTCTTTACTGTGGTTTTAGTCATGCCGAAGCAAAACTGTCTGAATCAAAGTAAGCAAGACTGATAGACGAGGTGTGTTTTTTTTCAGGTGATAGATGCTATTATTGAATCGGGGAAAAACTTTTCAAAGGAGGAGCGCAAAACAGACCGTTGCCCTTTGCTGTACCAGTGGCACAGGAAGCAGTATGTTGGAGCAGCCCATGGAGTGGCTGGGATCTATTACATGCTCATGCAGGTAAGAGCATCTTCTGCGGGCAGTGGTGATACACAAATGATTTCTTGTTTTGAGTCAGAGGATCTTTTCTTCAGGTTTCATGCATGTGCAGTGTTGTGCTGGGTCAGGGTCTCAGAATTAGAAATTAGACTGCAGCGCAGAGCTGTGCAGAGATGCTACCTCAGGCTTTGATAGCAGAAGAAAACTGTGACTAAGGTATCACACACTAGAGTGAATTAACTCTTTGAGTGGTTCAGAGCACCAGCTTTCCAGGATCCGGTTTCTTGTCCTCAATGGAGACAGTGAGGTGCTTTCTCTCATCTTCATAATTACTTCTTCTGGTGCCTGCAGTTAGACCAGCTAAATATTCACTTATCATCCATCACTCTTCAATGTTTTGCTATTTTTAAATGAGTGCACCACTGGTGCCTCCAGTCCTCCATGCCCTTCCTCTCTTCTCTAGTGATTTTTTTTTTTTCTCCCCACTGTCTTGATGCTTTTGGAAGACTATCCTTAATCATACATTAGTCTTCAGAATGCTTTTATTATTTAGATGTTTTTCTTTTTTCTTATCTCTCTTATTTCTCACACAATTTGTCTGATATTCCTTAGTGTATTTATGACCCCTGCTCTTCTGGTCTTCTCTTCCTGTTGTTCTGAGTGAGATTCCTCTCTTCTGTATACCTCCTCTTTCTCACACTTAAATCAATTCCTCCCTGCCCTGAGATTCTCCAATAGGATTATGATGTTTTTCTTATTTCTCTTCTATGATATGGAAAAAAAGCTTTAAGATTCATTATAGAAGATGGCCATAGAGCTGCAAAATTTGTATAGCACCTGTTTCTGGTTTTCAAAGGTGCTGCCAGTTTGTGCATCTTTGTAAATGTCCATTTCCTTACCAGCTCCTGCAGAATGACTTTCCCTCAGGTAAGTGAAAGGCCTGTACATCCTCGCACCCTGAAGCTGTGTGCAGACGTTCAGTGCAGAAGCGACTGAGCTGGTATTTAGTGTTGCCACTACTCAAACATTCCTCACTTGGAACAGATGCTGTGAGTTCTCCCCATCTGTTTCAAATTAGCTCACACCACTTCCACCACTAGTTCCAGGTAAAGTGGCTGACTTTGCTATGGAAGTAGCTACTGCTCTGCTACCTGGGGGCATGTCTTAACCTCAGTAGAGACATGTTCTGCAGTAACCATTCCACTGGGGCCTCAGGCTGCTCTGATTTACTGTCTCTTATCTTTACTTACCACTTTTTTCAGCAAGGCTGTCCACCCCCTTCTGGCTCCCTCATCTTTCTGGCTTCCATTTTTCCTTCCCTGGCTCTGCTAGATTTTCTGAGAAACATTCAGTCCTTTAAAGGAGACTCTTCAAAGGCTCTACCCTTCATTTACTATTCAAGGATGATAGCAGAAATAATTGCACAGTGCCTTTTGATATGAGCGGAAGCTACTGTATCTACATGTTAAAATCATAACTGTTTTTCCTTTACATGTAATTGCTGCTTTTAAGAATTACCAGAAAGCCATTGTTTATGCAGCATTAGATTACCATCTTTTCACTGTATGTTAAATATTGTGAGTCATCCAAAGTTGAGTCATCCACTGCAGAAAAAGATGGCATATCAGAGTTCCATCCTTTCCCAATCCCTCCCACGCCAAATGAGGAGAATTTTACTGTATTTTCAGCAAAGAATTCAGGAGATGGTTTGTTGAGTGGTTATTTGATAACAAAAAAAAAGGGTGTTTAACACAGCACCTGAGATGTGAAGGTCACTGACCATAATTTCTGTGCAACACCTATATGAGGAAATATGCTGGAGTTATTCACAGAAGATTAGTGGAAGAATAAGAGCTTATCCATGTTAAATAACTCATCCAGGAGGTAGAGGAGAAGTTCTGAAGTGCTTGCTAGAGACTCTCTACTCCAAGTTCCTTTCACTAACCCTGAAGCAAAAATGTCTGTTTGCATGTCATTCCTCTTGGCCAGAGGGTCAGGACGCATACCTGTAGGTTACTTTTTTGCTGTTTGAAGTAAGTGCTGGGAACTTCAGCATCTTGCGGCAAACAACTCACTTGTACTCAAATCTTCTTGGAAGCACAAGGGAAGGAGGTTTGTAAAGAGCTCTGTTGTTCTTGGATTTACCTCCCAAGAATGGCTGGGCTGGTCTTGCTTCCCATAGCTTAAGACTGAAAGCATTTATTGCTGGTGCCCATCCACTTTACCTTCTGTATCAGGAGTGCAGTGTGAAATCAAGAACCTCAAAACAAACCTTCCTACCGAGCCTCACTACCTCACAGGTCAGTGTCTGAGTGAGGGCTGATCAGCTTTGGGGTGTTCTTCATGACGAGCTGATCTGTATTCAGGTGTACGTCTGATGATGAGCAGCATGAAGGTTTCTGTTACATTCAGAAGAGTGCAGAGATGGAGTCATCTGCTTGAGGGACCTGATAGATGGAATTCTGGCAAAAGTTTCCTTGCTGAGGTGAAGTAGATGCTTTTGGTTTCTTCAGCTTACTCAAAATAGAGCTACTGAAAGTTTTCCTTCATTTGGCTGTCAGACTTTCAATTGTAGGACTGTGCTCACCTGTTGAATGCAAATGGATTGAGGCTGGTGGGAAACAATGAAATTGGATGACATTGAATCAGCAATAAAGACAAGTTATTAAAAAAAATATGCTCAATTATTAGGCTCTTGTAGGCTTCAGTGTCTGTGGTTGTTCCCACAGTTTGCAGGAATCCCAGAAAACATGTAGATTGTGTAAAAATAGAGAGCTCTGCTATTAAAATGCTGTAACATGGGCTGGAAGTGGAGGGAATGCCAGCAAAGAACAACTGCAGACAGTTACTTGGCTTCTAAACCTTTAGGTACAAGAGGATGCAGGTTGATGGATATATTCTCCATTTGGCAGGGATGTAAATTAAATAAAAAAACTAGAAAGAAAATTCAGAAGAGCAATGGAAGAATGAGATTGTAATACTAACATGCTTAGGTAACTGGTGAGGTAGCTATTGCTTCTTAGCTTCAGGGAGTTTTGTTTACGATGGAAAACTTTAACCTTCATAGATCTTTGCCAGATATGCCGCTATATACACTTTTCTTCGTTTGTTGTGAAATAGTTATTTTTAAGACAAAATGTGTAACCTGCTTTGTTTCAAGTGTGTATTATGAGCACCATAGCTATAAAATCCATCTTTCTCCTGTAAGTGTTCTCCCTGTTTTAAGGTATAAAGAGAGGCCTGGGAGTCTTGAAATCCGTATTCTATTCTCAGTTCTTCCATAGTCTTTCTGTGTCACCTCCAGTAAGACAGGTAACAGCTTGGTGCCCCAGTTTCTTTGTCTGTGCAGTAACTGTAAAAATGTTCTTCACAAGGGTATTATAAGCAGACATTAATTAAATCTGTATGAAGTGATTCACAGTATTTGGATCAAGGGCACATATGTAGGATACTTGAAAATAGATTGTAGAATTAAGTGTTGATACACACTTTGTTACTACTTCTGTTTATGGGTTTGGTGATCGTTTTTTTAATGTTTTCTTTAGCCAATTGCAAATGTGGACCAGGAGACCCTGGCAGAGCTGGTGAAGCCAAGCATTGACTATGTGCGTCATAAAAAATTCCGATCTGGGAATTACCCGTCATCGCTGAGCAACGAGACTGACAGACTGGTTCACTGGTGCCATGGTGCCCCCGGAGTCATCCACATGCTCATGCAAGCTTATAAGGTGAATCACTCTGTGTTCATAGATTTCACAGAATATCCTGAGTTGGAAGGGAACCACAAGGATCATCAAGTACAACTCTTAAGTGAATGGCCCGTACGGGGATTGAACCCATGACCTTGATGTTATTAGCACCATGCTCTAATATATGTATATATACAGAGAGAGAGACCTCTGTTTTTACAGACACACCTGTATGCAGGCCTGTTAGATTGTAAGACTTTAATGTCTTTTTAGATGTAGTCTTTTAAACTGGAACCTTAGGCTAGGCACCTAAAAATCCCCAAATACTTACATTGGTATGTTTGTAAAGAGAAAATAAGTGAATAAAATTGCTTCTCAGGTCACTAGTGGTTACTAGACTTTAGACTTTTTGGAAAAGGACCAAGTATTTAAACAATTTGGCATCAGAGTCATGGGTGTGAGAACATTGACCTAAATTCTTTGAATCTTCATCCCAAGACTTTTAACAGTTACATTGGTTTTCAAAAATATAGGTTCATGTGCCTTGCCAAAGAATGTCTTCCATAAATTACTTAATTATTAAGATATATCTCTTGAAAACTTAATGTCGGAGCAAAGATCCCAGGCCCCTTCTAGGGCATAAATATAACCACTGAGCTTTCACAAGCCTACTGTTTACCTTTCTCCATTCTTAACTAGGTTTGCTACCTCTCTTGTGTTGTGTGCTTCTGGTTTGCATGACATTTGAAAGTATGCCATTTAATTAAATTTATGCAAATTGATTCTTGCTTTTGACAGCCCTCTTTGACAGATTCCCTGATCGGCCTCTGGGTGGGCTGATGAAAAGCAGGCTTGGTTTATAGAATAATTACTCATGCTGCTACTTGAAATGTGAACTGTAAATCTCTTACTGTGTTGCTGCATGTAGCAGTAGTCACAGTTGCTTTTTCTTTGGACTGTGGTAGGAGATTGATTTAACACTGCAGGCTTCCACCTTACTCCTTCTTCAATGTGATGCTTTCCCCAGCACAGAACATTTTGCAGGAGGTAGGAGGGATAGGACCAAATTCTTTTTAGCAGTCTCTTTTTTTACCTCTTTATGTTAAAGGTGATAGAGCATATGATGCTTTTCCTTTACTCTTTGTATTCTGCTTTTTGAAGCAGTGAAAGACAAAATTGGAGCATGTTTTGCTGGCTATGCTTTCATACCAAGCACAAGGCCTTGCATTAACAGACAGCAGTGTTTGTCCTGGAAATCAAATGGTGTTGCCAGGCCTTAATTTGAAATGTTACAGTTAAGTAGCTGAGAAACCCTGTTCAGAGGTTCTTTATCTAAATCCACTTCTTTATCAAGCTTGTGGATTTAAGAATCTTGCATGTTAATTGCTTCTATTACCTTATTAAACAGTTTGATAAGGGATGCCATCTCCAAAGGACTAAGTCTACACTAATGCATCACATTTGTTTTGTTGTGGTTTTTCTGTTGGGTTTTTTTAGGGTGTGAACTTTTTTGTTTTGTTGATCCATAGAATGACTTAGGCAAAGGTAAGCAAAAAAGTGGCTTTATAAAGGTGGAATTCTGGTAGTGTTCAGGTAAATTACTTGCTTTTGTTTGCTGCTTTCTGGATGGGCTCTCTGTGTCCAAAATGCACTTCAGTTGCAATAAATTTTGCAAAACTGGTCTTTTGCTCAAACTGGCTACTGCTTCTGAGTGCATACTAATACTAATATACTAATAGAAGTACTCATCAAGGCAGTGTAGTGTTCCTACTTGTACTGTGGCAGAGAAGAGAGTCCTGTGCTATGCAAAGTGATACTCTTGCACATTTTTGACATGGAATTAAGGCAGACAATGAGTAACCAGAAAGAATTACTCAGGAAGACCACAACCTAGCCCTTTCAGATCAGATTTGATGTCCAGTATTCTATTTTACATTTCTCGGAGGCGGCAGAATTACATTTCTGTATATTCAAATTCAGGTTTGGGAATGGAGGATGAAGAAAAAAGGACCACGGACCCTTGAAATAGATTATAGGTTATAGAACCAAAGGACTTGAACTTGAGCTTTTCCTTTGGGGTCCTGATTTCAGAAACAAAAACTTGAAAAGTTCTTTTTTTTTTCATGGAGGGAAAGAAGAAACAACTTAGTAAGAAAAGAAAAGCAAGTCTATGAGGAATGGATTATTAAAATTCAAAATAAATTTTATATGGAAAAACACCACACTAGAGTGAAATACCTCTCAGGTGCAGCTTCCTTTTGTTTTCATTAGTACTTCAATCTATGTGTGTTTATTCTCTGCTTTTATTCCACAGGTTTTTAAAGAGGATAAATACTTGAAAGATGCTATGGAGTGTAGCGATGTCATCTGGCAGAGAGGTTTATTGAGGAAAGGATACGGGATCTGCCATGGTACTGCTGGCAATGGCTACTCCTTCTTGTCTCTCTATAACCTAACTCAGGACAAAAAGTACCTCTACCGAGCTTGCAAGGTGAGCTCTGCAGCTTCCCAGCAAAATTACTGTTCCCTTTCACATCACAATGCCTGTGCAAGGGTGAAATGTGATGGGAGTAAGCAGCTGTGTCCTGGGGCTGGCTGTGGGGTTGGATGGGAAAACAGGGCCCTGTCATTTGCTCCTCTTTACTCACACTTTGACTGGACCACTTCAGCTGTGTATGTGGGGCAAGCACTGTCTTAATACACAGAGTGGAACATGCAAATGTTCTGTAAGAGGGGAGGAACTAAACATGTATTCAGAAGAAAATAAGAGTCTGAAAATTAGCCTGCCTGAACAATAACAGACTGATGTTTTGTGGTGCTAATTATTCCATTGAGATATCCACTGTCATCCTCGGCTCCTCGAGCAATACTGTTTGTAGTCTTTGTAATTATTTGTTTTCAGACTAGTGCCTGTTTGGGGCTTTTAGAGCTCTGAGTTGCAGTTATTAAAGTGCTCATTTAGAGTTTTTTCATTAATACAAATTGCAGAGAAAGACACACTCAGAATTTTTCCACTGGAATTGTCCAGGTTCTGCCATCAGCTCTGACTGTGCTAACAGTTACTAAAGGGGAAGGCTTTCTCTGCCTCTGTTTCCTCACCTCATAAGATTTTGGTTTGGTTTTGGTTTGTTTTGTAGGATTTTTTTTTTCAGTTGAATTCACTGACATTAGGTTTCATATTGTGTACATAGCTATTTAGCTTTTTTAAGTATTACAACTGAAATTTGATGGGTTGTTTCTTAGGTGCTTTTAGATGAGTATTGGCCATATGTAAAACTGTTGTATTTATCTCTCCTGTCAGCCTGTCCTCTGTCAGCAGAGCTTAAAAAAGTTACTGCTTGTCTCACATTTATCCAAGCATCATGCCATGGGGGCACCTGTAGGCATACCTGCATCCTAGAGATTGAAATAAACCCCGGCTACTCCCACAGCAAATGTGTGACTTGTAGTCACTCGTGGACATGGAGTCACCCACTGCTGACGTGTAAACCACGGCACCCTGCAGGCATTTTTGTCAGCACAGCTATCAGCTCTCACTGTCATCCTCCATGCTAGCACATCTTCTGCAGCTCTGTGCAGCATTGGCAGCTTCTGTTGGTGCTGCATTTCTGGCCCAAGAGAGCCCTTGGTGTTTGTCCACACCAAGCCAGAGTAAAGCAAGCATATCTGTTTCAAAGGCAAAAAAGGAAGAGACTCAGTTACATACCTGAAATCCATTTGAGAAGAAAGTTGTAGCACAGTGGCCAAAGACTGTTTGCTGGAGGTACCCAACATAATGAGGTCTGGCAGCATATTTGCAGCCTCTCTGCAGTTTAGCATCTCCAGCATTCAGTCAGGCCTTTGCAGGGGAAATCTTGAAACAGGCAGAGGAATTTGCTTGTCTGGCATTCTTGAAATCTTTTCTTTTTGAGCCAGAGCATGCAAGGAAGCAAACATGCAGTTAAGTTGGTACCTAAAGGCATGTAACTGAGAGAACTAGGTGGCTTCCCTCCCAGGGGTGTCTCTTCACACCAAAAGCTTGAGGCCCAGGGGAAGGAGTCTTGTCAGGAATCCCTGGTTACCCCTCAGGAGCCATGAAACTGTTTCACAAATGAACCACAAGAGCTTGAAGAGAAGAGACCCCAGGGTTATGCTTCACATTTTCATCCCCACAGCTCTTCTGTCACATTATCAGACAGAGGCTGAGCTGCTCCTAGCTGGCCTGTCTGTAAGAGGAGAGAAGGGCTGTTGCATCCTGGGCTCCAAGCAACAGAAAGTATCTGAGCCCTGTGCTGCTCAGCATTGTGATTGCCACTGCTGGTGGCAAGCATGCCCAGTCTGTGTGACAAATAATGGCAGATGTCTTCTTATAATATTTTGTTTCCTTTTTTTTTTTTCCCTTGGTTAAACAAAGTTACTCGTGTAGCTTACAGGATCCGAGTTGTGCTGAAGCTGTGAACTTGGAAATGATGGTTGTGCTTCAGTAGCCTGGGGTGCATTTTTTTTAATTTATGTTGCAGTTCCCAGGCTGGAAGTGATAATAAAGGCTAGTATGCCATAAGATGTGGATGTTGCAAGAACTGATTGTAGCTTAGAAGCATGACATAAACATGTTTAGTCCTCACATTTAAGCCAAGATTACATGGGAGAATTAAACCTTGGTTTGATGATTTATACCCGAAGGGTGCCCAAAAATGTTTCATCAGTTCTCAATAACGATGTGGATTACAGTGTTTGTGTTTGGGGTTTGTTTTTTTTTTTACACTGGGTTTTCTGAAGACATTTACAAACATGCACACACCAAGAGAAGAAAAATTAGTAGGGAGGGAGAAAAGGAGGAGATACCCCCTCTTCCTCCTGCTGAACAGGCTCTGCGATCATGCTTACACCGCATATAGCTTCAACTCCAGGGCTGGGGCACCCTCTGGTTAGGATCATCTGTTTGCTAGCAGGTTACCCAACTTGTGGGGGAAGCAGGGAGAGACCTTGCAGTTCTTTGCTTTGTAGGAATCTTTGTACTGTATTTTGAATAAGCAGTGGTTTGCATCCAAGCACAGAAGTGCCAGGGGAACTTGTGGCCCCCTTATGCTCTGGGGAGCCATAAAGGAGAATAGATGGTTGTTATTAAATTTATCCAGATGCAGTTTGTAAGTCATGTATATCTAATGTAGCTACTGCAGCAGTGTTGATCAAACACAAGAAGGACACCATTAACTCTTTTTAATGCTAATCCATCTTCTGCAATGAAATATTGATGACCATAATTGTCTAACTGCATTTATAATGATTTTTCATAAGGCTTGGGAAGAGCAAATAAATAAAACTAAATAAGGGCAGCTGGAGATTTAATACTCTAAATTGGTGCACAGCAGTGAAAGAAAACCAAAATGCAATTAACAGCCCTAAGTCCTGAGTATGTGGATAAATTAAGCACTAATACAGATAAGAAACTGATAAAGTATTACAAAAATTTTGACTGACTATATCTGTTCTTACAGCATTTTTCCTTGACTTGTAGCAGGATTGATTTACAGAAAGTCTAGCCTACCTAGTTGCATTGTTACGAAACTGAAACTCATGCTATGAAAATACATATTTTAAAGCCTGATTGCAGCCTTGTCATGGTTGAAGTAGGACAAATTTATCTCAGACAGTGATTTATGTGTTGTGTGTCTGCTTACTCTGCTTTACTTTTTTTACCTATTAATGATATGCAGATACTCAAGCTTGCACTTAACAGTCTTAAATGAAAATACATTTTTTAATGTTTCCCCAGTTTGCTGAATGGTGTTTGGAGTATGGTGCACATGGATGTCGTATTCCTGACCGACCTTATTCTCTCTTTGAAGGTAAAGTGATGGTGTTGCAAATGGTTTGGTATTACAGGAGAGAGGGGCTTTCTTGCAGTTTTGGGACATGCTTATGAGTTGGGAAGTCTTTGGTGGGTTCCTCCACTTTGAGGTGGGGTTCACCCACCCCCTACCATCACCTCTGCCTAAAAGAAGGCAGGGTGGTAGCGGGCTAGAAAAGGACAAAGGAAAATCATTCACTGTCACAACTTTCAATGCTGGTTGCACTTCAGCATTTTCCAGTGTAAAACCAGTGCCATTGTTACTCTCAAATAAAATTCTGCTGTGCTGATGCTGCTTGGTTTAAAGCAAACAGAAGTCTGGGCAGCAGTTCTGTCACAGATGGTGTCACAGAGGGACTGGGAGAGGGGCAGCTGTGGGTAGAGGGTCTCAAAACTAGTTGCCAGCTTGTCAGAACTGGACCTTCTCTGCTGCAATACTAAACAAAGGCAAAGGTAGTTTTAATATGAACCCAAATGAGCTTGAGCTCAAATTTCCTTGAGCAGGAAAGAAATGCAGAGTTCTTATGGGCTTTTCTGTAAGTTCAAAGATGTTGTAAAATACTTTCCTAGAGCTTTGTATTATTTTTATTTGTAGTTTATTTTCTGTTCTGTATCTCATCCTTGTGTTATAGAATCAGTATCAAGGAACGAGAGACCCAAGTGGAATTTAAGGTAGCGCCGCTGCTGCTCCATGAACGAGCCTCGTGCGCCACCTGCCGCAAACATGTGAAATTACAGCAGGCGGAGCAGGGTCATTTTGCAGATAGACCAGTCCAGGGTGTAAACACAAGGGAGCAGGAGTTATATGCATCTCTCCTAAACAGAGAGTTATTGTCTTAATGCTTAAGGGAGACAAGCATAATTATTCTTATTCCTGATAGCACCCTTGCATGCACTTGTTGGGGGGGTGGTAAAAGTGGGCATGTTGTATAAATGCTTTGAAATTTGTTGAGAAGGTGAAGTAGTGCCAACACTAGGATGATTTGTGCTTCAATGTGGATATACAGTTTTTATTTTAGTTTTTAATGTCTGGGTTTTTTTAGAAGAATCTAGAAGTCTTCTATTTCAGATGAAGTCTTTATTTTGGGATTTGTTTGTTTTTGTAGCCAAAATTGAGCTTGACGTTGTCCAGTTCTGCATGTACATGCATGCTTTCTGCAGAATTTGCATGTGCATCTTATGGGATTGTCTTTGATTGTTTTGTTTCCATCAGATACTGTAATTCAGGAAGGTTCCTTTATATGTGCATAGCTATTGATAAAATAGAATTTTAGCTTGATCTTAAAACTAAGCTTATATTTGTATGCTCTCCTGCTGTAGGGTGTTTCTTTTGTCTGTCACCCTAAGAGTTCTGTTGGGTGATGATAATGTTAGTTTTTCAGGCTCTGGATGACCTCTTTATGAATAGTGAAGAAATGAATCTGTACATTACAAGTATAATAAAGTTTTGGCTTTTTTTTTAACCAGTGAAATGACAAGCCAGAGCTGCTCCAGTAGTGAGGGACTGTCCAAACTTTTTCTTAATTTGAAATAGCACTGAGGTTGTTCAGCTGCAGAGATGTTAGCAGAGATCTTGGTTCTTGCCTTTGATCTTTTCAAATAAAATTTTGTTTCCTGGACAAAGTACAGATGCACTTGCCTTTCTATAGGCCCTAAGTTCACCTGTTCAAAAACAGATCTAATGAGGGAGGTGTTCAAACCTGTGCTATTGCCTTTGCCGTCAACTGTATTGATTTATTGTCAAAGAAACACAAAGATCTCTTTCTTGTTATGTTTTAGGCATGGCTGGAGCTATTCACTTCCTCTCAGATATTTCAGTACCAGAGACTTCCCAGTTTCCAGCATTTGAACTTGGACCTCAGAGGAGGGAAAACAAAGTGGAACAGGACAGCTAAAAACATCATTTTGAAAGAAAACTGATGCCGAAAGAGATGAGATTGTTTAGTGCCTCTGATACTGAACCAACTCAATGCTGAACCGACAGATGGCTAAACCCCTTTTCTCACCTCTCCCACCCCAAAGGACCATGAAGTCATTAGAGCATGAACAGGAGAAGCCACATTTAAGTTCTGTTAAAGTGATACCTTCAGATGTAGGACAACAGAAGTCAAGTTTTGAACTTTCTCTCTTCCGTTGTATTTGTCTTCTTCAGGTCTTTGACATGCTCTGCATGTTTATTGGTGTTGTGTGTTGATTCGAGTCTTTTGTTGTTAGCAAAAAGCTGGTCTCTGTGTGAATCTCCATCCTGTACCTTCGTGCATGACTCTCAGCAGCAGTGTTGCTTTCTGCAGTATGGTTACCCAGAGAGTTCCACCTTATGCCAGAGAGTTTGCTGCAGGACAATGCCCAGCTCCACTGGTGAGCTGGCAACTCTAAAAAGAGATGACACATATTTTTATGTTCATATTTTTCTGCCTTTTTATGTACATTCCCTACAAGCTAAGCTGATGGAAATCAGTCTGTTTTGATGAAGAGGTATGAGGCCTATGTTTTCAGAAACTTAGCAGGTTGGAAGAGATCTGACTTGTCTTTTGCTGCTGTTGTGAGAGGTTTTTTTGGAAGTCTGTAAGAGAGTCTCACTCCTTTGGCACCTGGACCTGGTTAGTGTTGTTAGGCACTTATAGCAGGGTGGAGGTGCTTCTCCCTACCTCTGCAAAGCCCTGTCCCATGGCATGAGCTTAAACTGCAGGTGGAGTCACTTGGACTAACCTCCCACTGCCACCAACACCAGAGCCAGGACAGCATAACTATGCTTCTTCTCTCCTGTAACTGGATTTGTAGTAAACCTGTCCTGCAGCATCTAGAACAGATGAGTAAGGGAGGGTGTCAGGGCAAGTTTCCCATGCAGGTAACTCAGGATGACTGTTACTTCCAAACCAAGGTGATGATTTGTTCTGGGCCCTCGCCTCCCACCTCAGCCCCCTTGCATTTAGCCCATGTAGTAGTACAGGAGCAATAAGTACCAGCTGCTTGTGGAGGCTGCAGAAGATAAATGAGCAATATGAAGCCATTGCTAGAAGCTGTAACTGAAGTACATTTCATCTTAAAATCCAAACAGAAAAGCCCTTTGCTATTAGTTTTAACTACTGCTAGTGCTTTGCTTCCTCCTGTAGTGTGGTGAAGTTGTGAAATGCTAGAGCAGCTTCCAGGTGCTCCTGAATATCAGGCTGTTGGTTCTGTAGGAGAAACGGAACATACTCTGAGTACACTTACAGCAGGCTTATGTGTTCCAGATAGTATGTACACTTACTGCTTGAGAGAGGTAAGTGTAGCACACTCTCAGTTGCTCAAGCTCTGTGGTCATCCTCCCCCCAGGTCTCCCTGTGCTCTGTCTTTCCAGGTGCTTATTTTAATGGATATCTTCTGTTGGGTGTGAGTGGCAGTTTGACCTTTCGGGCACGCAGTGGACATGTGGGCCATCTGTTGAGCACCAGTGCTTGTAGTCCGGCTTGGAGATGTATTGTTCCTGCATAAATCTTTGAATTGTAGCAGGTGACTTCCTTGAATGTGTTACAATGCTTGTTACCAAATCCATTGGGATGCTAATAATTTCCACATTCAGTTCTGCTGGACAACAGCAACAGTGTCAGTGCAGGAACAGCTTAACATCCCAATGGTTTGTCAGGTAGGATTAAAACAGCAGCGGGAGAGACTTTTCCACCTCTCTGGCAAAGGGCAGAAGGTGAGGTGGGGACACCAAAGACAGCTGTACCTCTACAGCCAGGGATGAGGGAAAATGCAGAAAGGCAGTGGGGATGAGGAATGCTGCATGGCAAGCAGCTGGGCTGAAGCAAACGAGCAGAGCAGCAGAAAGTGAGGACTTGGAAGAGTTGATTAATGTGAGGGATCAGTGAGGAACAGGGAGAGCCGATTACAGGAGGCAATGCACACTGTACCAATAGAGGCCATCTCAATGAGATGTTCCTCCATGCCAAGGGCTCTGTGTTTCTTTCTTAAGCCTGTGGATCACTGATCCTGCCCATAAATAAGCCAGGAAGGAAATTTGCCCAGGGTGAAGTTTCACAGAAATGCTAACAAAGGAGGTAGAGACATCAGCTCTAATCCTGTTTCACATGACCCCCACACCTTTGTTCATTCCCCTCCGCTGTGGCTGCAGAGCATGTGGAATGGGTTAACAGGGAAAGAGCTCACCAAGTTTACAGGAACTGCTCACAAACAGACAGAAGCCACCAGCCTTCCTGGCAAATCCCAAGCATGTGTTGTACGGACCATACGGACCATATAACTCTGGGGTCAACAAGCAGGTTTTTTTCATTCAGTGGTTATATACATATTGGCCTAGGCTACTCAGCTTGGAATGGTTCCTGTAGGAGGTGATTTTGGTTTGCTGGAGCCCAAGGGGAATTAAAACTTGCTAGTTTTAAAAATATATAGGTATATACACACTCAGAACAGCTCCATACTGAGGAGATCTCCAAGATGCTTGAGTGTACCTGTCATAGTAATGAAGTCAGCTACGAGCTCTTTCTGTACCACAGCCAGCCTTCTGCCACAGTGGGGCCTGGCACCATCCTTCTCTACAGAATCTTCCTGGAATTGAGTAAGACTGGAAAGAATAGAGTTGAGAAGCATCTGACAGTGCATCTGCTTCATCTTCCTGGCGTGACTTTCCCCATGGCTCCTTTCTGTTCATCACAGCATTGTGATATCTAGTTGGCCCATTAAGAAAGGATATATGGTGTGAAGGTGAAAAAATGTGTTTCATCAAGGCATTGTTTTCCAAAATGACATCAAACTAAAAATGTGAAAAATGTGGAAAATGTCTTAATATTCCCTGGTTTGCTTTATCTGTGTGTAATAGTCCATCTGTTGCAAAAAGCAGTAGTTTTAAAAATGGAGATGCTCTTTGGGCAGAAAAAGAGGAAAAAATGCTGATGTTTTGTTCTTTGGCTTTATTAGTAAAGATCAAGCTATGTGGTGGTAATTTGTGTGGTTTGTTTTTTTTTTTTTCCCTCTTGTTCTCCTTCCTTCCCTCCAGCACTGTGGTGATAGCTGTCCCACTGATCTGACAGCTGAACCATTTCCCTATCTCATAGTCCTTCAGGATGAAACACATGCCAGAAAGTAGGCAAGTGGGCAAATTGCTTTTCTTTAACCTTCACATTTTACTAGCACTGCAGGCCCCTTTCCTGCTGCTTCTCCCAGGTGGTTTTTAGTGATCATTGCTTAGTGCAAAACGTTGCTTTCTTTCTGGTCACAAAGGTCCTGTTGAAGAGTTTGCATCTAAAGCCTAACTCAGGATGACCTGGTTTTTAAAACACATGTATGAAATCCCTGTCCAGCTGATTAACATTTTTTTTTCTAGTTTTGAGAAAGTTTTATGTGTTCCTCTAGCTAGGTTTTAACAGAAGGAAACTTCAGGCATGCTGCAAGCAACGGGCAGTATTTCTGTTTCTCAAAGCCCCTTGTGCCACTCATGGCTGTCTTTGCCACTGGGAGAAATTCAGTGCATTTTTTAATTAAGAGCATTAGTTCGGTACAAATTCAGCTGTAGCTAGATAAATGCATTGGGACTTTTCTAGCACAATAAATCTCTGCAACATCAAAACAGCATAGGATAGAGAAGTGGGAGGAGGTATGGGTGCAGACTGTCAGGTAATACCTGAGCAGCAGCCTGCTGCCTGAGCCCTGTCCCATTAGGGTGTTTTATACAGCAGTCTTTCCTGGTGAAATTGCTCACTTTTCTCCCACTTATTCTCAATGGTTTCATGTTGATTCACAGGCAGGGCAGCTGTTATTTGTATGCAGGGAGCAGTAGGGACCTGACTTAGAGCCACAGCTTCTCCTTGACATCTGCAAGTGGACTGCTATAAATCCAGCTGCAGCTATTAGATTAAGATAGGGCTAGGCAGCAGGAGAGAAATAGTGTGAGACACAGCTAGAAATACAACAATCCCTGTGACTTCTCTCACTGCATAAAGCCAAAGTAACACATCTGTGCAGAAAGGCAGCTACCTTCATCTACAGGGGTTGGAGTCGGAGGGCTGCTTGTCACTGTTCCCTCTGCTTTCTCTACTGTCCCCTTTACCTTGCACACGGTACCTTTGAACAGTGGCTGCCAGTTGCACCTCTCCTCTTTAACTGCCTTATTATCTGGCAGTTGCTTTGTAGAAACTGTCTCATGCTGGATCTTCTTCTGCATGGTGTCTCAGTAGTCATTTCCCTGCCAAACAGTACAACTGTAAAAGCCCAGAAGGCAGCTCAGGTGGTGACAGGGCATTAGGGGGGAGGGCTCCCACAGCCACAGGGCCTACAAAGACATCCTGGCCCACTTCTCTCGCCTACTGAATTAGCAGTGTTAGATCTGAGAAATAATAAAAAAAAAAAAAAAACACCAACCAAAAAAAACCGCTTCAGTCTGTGAAGAAGTGTTATACCTTCTTTGCTGACCTGTGTGCCAAAAAGTGGCTTCTTGGATATATACATTTTAAGCTAACCCTTCTGAGGGTTTTGGGGATGGGTTTTTTGTTTGTTTGTTTGAAGTGGAGAAGAAAGAGGAATATTGCCTTTGCTTCTTCACATGGTCTGAAGAGCTTGTTGGAAAATGTAGTCCCAGCTGTTTGTTGTCACAGCAGTGTAAGCTGTCACAGGGCTCTAAAGGAAAAGAAAAAAAAAGCCACCCTCAAAACAAAAGAAGTTTGTCACTACATTATCTTTTCCCAAAGTGATGAAACACAGGCCACATCAGAGCTAGAGGCAACATGTACTAATAGTCTCTTGTAGTGCCTTTTAAAACAGTATACTTGGAGATTTCATTGTAGCAGAAGAGGACTGACCCCCTTCTCATCCTCATTGCTGCCAGGGTCACGGCAGCAGAGAAAGACCTCAAAGGTTTCCTTACACACCTGCTTAGTGCCTCCTCACAGGTACATCAGACACATTTTGAGTATGTGCAACTGAAGAAGACCACAAGGGGTTACTGCTTGTGTTCCTGGCTCCTCACCCAGGTACAGTGGTTCCACTAAAGTATCTCCATTCTGGCCAAGCCCTGTCAAGGCATTTAACCCCCCCCACCCCCCTCCCTGTATCAAACACCTCTGACAGAACCAGGAAATGGATTGCCACAAGACATTAAATCACTTTCCTGATGTAGATGGGGCGATCTCAAAGGCAGGCAGGGAGTCAGCTGCATACGGGTCCAGTGCCTCTGGAAAGGGGCAGGAGAGTGCCCCACACATCTCCAAGCTTCCCAGCCACCAGCACCAACCTTATTTTGCAGTTGAAACACCACCTTGCCTCATCAGCGAGGTACCAAATCTCTTTTGTGTTAGAAAGGACGCAGTAGATGCACTCAGAGAACTGCAACAGACGAAGCACCAAATCACCACAGGGCAGTTCACATTAGCAAAGCGGCAGCAGCTGGCAGCTCCTAGGGCATCACTACTGCCAAGTAAAATCCTGTTGGAATTGGCAAGGCAACAAGAGCAAAGGCATGTAAACAATCTGAAAGTAATTCATATGGATGTCCACACAGGTATTGTGTTTTCAAGAAAAGACCAAGCACCAAGCAAGTTCGCTAGCAGAGAAGTCCATGTGTTGTAAGAGGTGGTGTCATCCATCAACACTAGGAAATAAACTACCCAGACTTCAGGAAAACTTCACCTGAAATTGAATTTCAATGTACAAAGGCTTCTATTCAATGTGTCCAGGACAATGCCAGCTGTCATAGATACATTTCATAATATAAAAGGACTTAACAACATCTATCTACTAACATGAGGTCTGTTGTCATTTCTATTGACAGAAAAAGGTTGGATTTGCTTTTAAAAAATCGTCTTGTATACATAACCATACTCAGTGACATACACAGCTTTACACTTCAAATGCACACTAATTTAGAAAATATATACAGTTGTGGTGTGCAGATGGAACTAGTATTCATATAGAAAATTTACTTTTTTGTTATCTTATGTGTCTATCAAGCCTTGACTGCACACATGGAAGTACTTTGCTTTGTCCCTTATTATGATGCACAGTAAGGGAAAGCCTTAGTTCCAGGTTCACCAAAGTCAGGTATGCAGGAATGTACTCCTCCAAACCTAGCTCTGCTCCAGATGGCCACTAACTCCACCAGCAGCTTTTAGGAACAGTGGCCCTTAGAAGTTTTTCTGCTAAGACACTCATATTCGCAATAAAAGAGATGCTCTGCAAATTCAGCTTGACACCTAGAAACAAGTTCTCACAAACCACTTGCATGTAACAATGCCACCATAAAGCTTCAGCTCCCTGTGCAACACAGGTCTTCACATTACTCCAAACCACGCTGGTGATCTCTGTGCCCTGGCTGGCGTGACACAGGAGCAGTCTGTGTATGGGCAGTGAGTAAGCTTTTACTGGGTACCCAAAGGTCCACACTGGACTCCTAACTCTGTTTTTGCAGGTCCTTCAGCAGCAGGAGGCAATGGCATCTTTTTTTTGGTCACTCTTCAGTGGCACGACTCTGAATATGCACAAAGGGAGAAGGTCCCATTAGTACATAGTCATGTTTCAGAGCAGCTTCACATTTTTGCTAGACATAGAGGGGTGTAAGAGCTCTGACAGCTAAAGGGGCTCTGTGTTTACTTGAAGCTGTTCACCTGTGGTCACTCAGGTCACAACAGAGTTTGTTGTGAGTGTGAGCACTCACAACAAAACACATGAAGAGCTGAGCCACTGAAAGTCAAACCATCTGTGCATCAGGTCAAATAATGCTATTAAGCACCTGTCCCAAAAAGTTATTATTTGCCGGAACCTAGAGAGGAGAGCAGATTTACAGATATGTCACCTGAGGATGACAGCTCCACTTGGTACATTTTGTGGCAGCAGTAAGACTATAATGAAAGCTACTATGTCTCTGGGACTAAACTCCCATCAACATCAAAGGGAGTAAACCTGTAACTATGCTCCCATCCGTTCTTACTGTAAATATTTTCCAATTTAGGGAAGAAAACTGACGGATTCCAGCGTTTCTACCCGTTCTGTCAGGAGGCACAAGTAGCTCTGAAGTTATGACAGCTCCCTCTCACCACAAACATTTAGGTTATCTGTTTCATACAATCTCACTGCTGGCAAAACAAGGTGAGTAAGGATGCCAATCACGCAGGCAGAGTCCAGGTGATGGACAAGAAACACTCAAGTCCCAGTCCTTCACTGTTTGGATGCATCATTTAAAGTAACGAGTCCCTCTTTTCTAGGGCACTTGGCAGAGCCCCTGCCATGGCTCAACCAATGCTGGTACTCTAGTCACAGCAACTTCTATTGCAGCATCTTTCTGTTATACATCAGAACCAAACTGTACAAGAAAAATCATAAAAGAAAAATATGGTCGTCACAATTTCTGATAAAAACATTGCCCTACCCACTTCTACCCTCTTTCTCTGTCATTTCCCTTAGATGAGGGCATTTCTGCAGTGGGGTCTTAGGAGCGTGCATCACTCTGGGGCTGCAGAAAGAACTGCTATCAGTAACGTGCCACAATGCAATTAAAACCATGATTAAAATGAACAATAAATAAAGAGAAAGACATACAGGTTTTAAATATAGGTTTCCATTAAAAGCATTACAAAGACAACTTCTCTCATTTTAAAGACAAAGAAAAAATCCACTTCTACTGAAAACAAAAGAAAAAAAATTTAAAAATCACCCCCTTTGCAAATAACTTTAATGAGGAAAAGTGCAGGGAAGGGAGGGAGAGAGGACTTGGAGAACTAGCAAGTGTTCAAAGGGGCAGATGCCCTCCATCTTGGTCATTTTGCAATTGCACCTTCTCTCACAGTCAGGTTAGAGAGCCAAAGTCCTCACGTGGAGGATTTCACCACCTGCTCGTATGGGGGAGGTGGTGTGTTGCAGTAGGAAGGTGGGGGTGGATAAACCGGGTTTCCTTGTGGGGAATTGGGCTGGACGTGGAAAGCCATAGCCATGGGATTCATCACAGGTCCACCTGGATCTGTGTAATACGGCACTCCGGGTTGTTGTGACCCTGAAAGAAAGGAGAGAAAAGGTATCAACAACAGCAGTGACATCAGGTTGTGGTCTCCCAGGGCCTGTGCTCTGCGCACCTGGACAAATTCAAGTTTTTTCAAAGTGTTCATCAGAGTAAAGACAAGGAGCTATCTTTCTCCCTTCCAGAGAAAACCCAGCCTTGCAGGACTACATTCACTTCTTCAGATATCACCAAAAAGTTTCAATTTTGCATTCAATGGAAATCACTCAGTGAAACAAAGGGCACCGCTAGTCCAAGCAACTCCCATTTGAAAGGGAAAACAGCAATCCCTGTTCAGTTCCACTGACAGAAAAGCTACTATGTCAGCAGAGAGGAGAGGTGTAGGATCCCAGGTGGACAAAGGAGTTTCTACTGTGGCCCTGACTCAGGTGTCAAGTCTTACAAAAGGACTTCATAGATTATTTTGTGGTGTACTGGATCTGCTGATAAGCCAGAGTGCACCTCAAATAGATAATTTCCCTTCTAGGCATGATACAGCTTGGAAGCAAGAGGCCAAGTTGAAGCCAGTTATGGCTGGTTAACACAATGGGACAAGATTGTTTTGCACAGATTAAATTTAAGAAATGACGTCTGAGCCTGCAGGGACATGGAAAGGAAATGTATGATCAAACACAAAATTCCTTGGCTATGACACATGAGGAGTAACAGAGACTGCTGCCATTAGGAACCAAGGTGGTGTGTAACCCTCCTCAGATATCACAGTGGGTGGTGAAGATGACCTAATGCAATTGAATTCACAGACTGTCTCTGTCTTAAGAAGTAAATTAGTTTTCTTCTCTTTCTCCCTGTCTACTTAAATAAAGATGGACTGAGAAAAAAAGATCATGCCTGACCAACAAGTTTTCTTCTTTTGATGCTAATCTGTGTTTCCTAAAATGACACAGCCTCTAAGGGATCTCCCCCTCAATCATTCCTTTCTGTGACCTTGGACTCAGTATTGCCACAGAAGGAATACAGGCTTCTTTAAGCATTCCTACAACCTCAAGTATTCAGGAAAGAGCTACATGCCAAATCCCAAAACATGTTATTACAATATTAAAATCAGATAGGGAACATGGACACAAACTGTCCCAGAGCCTGAGGTGTCTGCCAAAGGAGCTGTGTTTGGACACTCAGGAGGAAAGAGGATAGAAAGCAGATCAAGAATGAAGCTATTTCCTTCTTAACACAGTAATTTTTAACACACCATCACAACAGTTTTTCCTTTTGCCTGTCTGAGTGAAGAGAGCTGCTCCACAACCTCCCTACTTTGCTGCAGTAACGAGAAGCCCCTGCTCTGCATCCATTTATAGCATCAGTTCATGGCTGCAGGAGAGCCAGGCTGGGCTCTTACCTGTCCAAAAGCCAGGAGCTGAATCTTACCTCTCCAAAATTTGGGCTATTACCCTCTTCTGTAGCCTTTTTCTTAAGCATTTTTGATTAAATGGACAGTTAAATCCTGCCCAGCTCTGGCTTGCTCATTTCCATCTTTATAGGAAACTGGAGAGGTTGAGGTAGCTTTCTGCAGCTTGCTCTTTAGGAAAGTAACCGTTTGCATTAAAATTTACGTGTATTATTGAATCTGTGGTGGGAGAGAGGGGAGGGAAGTGTGGACACCAATCTTTCAGTTCATTAAATGCAGAAGAAAATAACATCTGAATATCAACATTCTTGTGGAATCAACTGAGCAAGCATTTGGTAAGTGACCATAAAGGGACATAACCATTGCCAGCACCTGAACTGCCAGTTTGGGGCTACGTAGGTCAGGACTGAAGTGAGGGATACCACCGGATCTGCAAACTGCTTCTTGTGGGTGAGGTGTTCAATTTATTTTCCCAATCAGGCCCACAGAAAAAGCACTCCCAGCAGAAGATGCTGCTGGGATGGCAGAAGATGCTGCTTCTATCACTGCAGAGAAGGAAGGAGACTGACAATGAACCATGTTTTAAAGGGCTCCATCGACCTCAACAGTGAATTGGCTACTGCTACCAAACCTGGAAATTTTCTGTTGAATATTCCTAGATTAGTAGAAAAACTAAAACTAAAAAAAAAAAAAAAAAAAAAAAAGATGGGGTTACCTCAGAGCCCAAATCTTTTAAGTAACAGTAACAACAGTCTGGAAGCAAGTGCCATAAACAGGTCAAAGAGCTTGTGCTTATTTTATATTTGTCCATGATTTGCGTTCCATGAAGCATCATGAAAAAGTAAAACAGTGCTCTAAATTTAAATCCAGTGTTTACCAATCCAGCCAAAGACACTCCCTGTTCACATAATCTCAAGGTTATTTTTCAGGCTTAAAAATATCAGTTTAGTTAGTTTGCCTTTCCCCACAGCTGAACACTCTGTGTTCAGTCAAGGAGAAAAACAGATGCAGAACGGAAGCTCTAAAAAAAACCTCTTAGGATTTAAACAAGGAGGGTGAATAAAGTGTCTGTAACACTTTTTTAACCATTTAGACCTGAGAGAGGGCGGAGGAATGCACTATGAGTCCATGCTTAAGGATAAAGAAAGAACATTTCCAAAGCCTACACGAGGCACGTGGATGTGTAATAGCTGGCATTGGAGCAGTGAGAGCCCAAATGCTGCATTTCTGCACAACACTCATAGTCACAGCAAGCTGGGGCGGGGTGGTTTAGGACACTTTTGTAAGGAGGCTGTCTTAATGCAGCCACAGTATTGCACAGAGATGTAATAGTTCAGAAGACTTTCAATAGAGAAGTTTTAGGCACCATATTTTCCAAGAGGTCCTTCTTCTCATTACAAAATATTCAGTTTTGTTTCCGTGATGGTCTGGGAGGAAAAGTGCCAGTGCCCCAAGCACGCCTGTACATGTGTACGTGTGTGTACTTTCGCTGGCACAATTTAGCACTGACTTGTGCAATGTGGAGAGCAGTTAAAAATGTCTCAGTTTGGCCCTGCTGAGGCAGGGAGAAAGAAAGCACCAGGGTGTGCACTCAGATAAAATCTCAGCACTGTAGAAGGTCTTTCAACCAGAGAGAGCTGCATTTAAAATAAGGCACAAACAGCTTCTGCTTACAGGTAAGTCACATTTTGCAGGATTCTCCAAACTGGAACTATTTAACAGAGGGGAAGAAATTACAAACTTTGAAAGCGGTATTGTCAGAGGAGCCCTCACTAGGTAGATCCTCCTGATGCTCACAGCCAGTACTGACTGGAGAGACAGTAAGCAGACTAACACAGGAGATGGACCACTTTGCCACAGAAAGACTGTAGCACAGAGCATTGAAGGCAAATAAAAAGAAAAGACTTGCAAGACAGCCAGACTGTGGAAGAAAACGCTAGGCTTTCCTTCACCTCTGCCAGATGTTATCAGTTGTATTTAAACTCTTTCTTCACAGTACTGTTGATTTTGGATACTTATCATTTTGTCTACACTGCAAAGGGGGAGCTTGCTAGCCTCCTTCCTTGCATGGATACACAGCTATAAAGGAATTAGGAACCAAAACAGAAAGGAACTCAAAGTCCTCTGATCTTGGGTTTCAAAACCACTTCTGTACACTGCAGCTGAATAATGCTGTTTGAAAGGCTGAAGACATCACTCATCACAGGAGGTGGCTGCATGGTTTAATCAAGTGCAATCCCTTGTCGGAATCCCACAGTTCCCAAAACCCAAACAAACAAAAGCTCAAAGCCCACCCTTTTAAAATACCTTGGCAAATGTAAGAAATTAGTGAAACTTTTATAATGAGCAGTCTGACCTGATGCAGTGTTGACTGGTTGTCTGGTGTAAGACACATTAAAAGTAGGTTCTTCTACTAATGGAGGAGGGTACATCCGTCTTCGGATAAAGAAACCAGCCCCGCAACAGAACAAAACTCCCATCATCAAAAGGAACCTAGGGGAAAAAAAAAAAAGAGGGAAGTCAAAACCCACCTGCATTCAGGCAGCTCTCAAACCCACACTGTTCACTGAAAACACTTTACATCAGCCTATGACTTTTAACAGGGTTTCTTAAATAGGTTGTCTCTTGAGAGCAGGTCTGTCATTTGAGGCATCACACATGGGGCACTTACGGATGCATTATGGACGTATTTAGTGACTTGTACTATTGTCAATGTTTTCTGTCATGTAAAATACAAATCTGAAACAAAAACACCCTTGACCTTTTCAAAAGTTCATGTTCATACCTGACCATTGCCACCAGGATGCTGAACTGAAATTCCAGATCAGTACAGTTTCAAACTGTGCATCTTGGATGCAGGCCTCAGGCTTACAGCATCTAGGCTGGTCAGGAGGTTTGTGGGACACAGAGGAATACTATTCTGCAGTTGCCATTAAAAGAAGATTCTCAGATGTTCTTAAACCACCCAACACTGTAATTTCGCCTCCTGTGGGAAATATGGTAGCTGGCATTTAAGCTCAAGCCAGAAGCATTCAGCTGAATGATACATTCAGCATTCAAGACTGAAGCATTCAGCACCAATGATGACAAGCTTTGCTTTGTGCTTCCTAGATGGGTCATTAAATTCTGAAGGAAAAGGACATAATTTTGCTTCAGTTCTCCTCCTCTTAGCTGCTTTTTTGACCTAACTAAACTGTCTTCATCATTCCTTTGCCCTAGTGCTGTGAAAGTAGGAATATGCAGCAAAGGCACATGAGATTTTGTTCTTTTGACAGTGGCTTTCACTGTGTTTTCTTGAGGAGTTATAAGACATGCCAGTGACTCATGCAAGCTCTTTTAAATACACATGGTTCTTTTGCTGTGTCTTCTCATTTGGTGGCCCTTGGACAATGACAACTGTGCTTTTTTGGAAGGGAAGGAAGTTGGCCAGAGGCAAGCCTACACACCATGCTTATCTCCTCTGGAGAATTCCCAGATGCCTGAGAGGAAGAGTGTGGCACAGCATGGCAGCAAGAGTAATTTCATGCAAAGGGTCAAACTCTGTTCTTGTTTCTACATTAGAAATGAGAGCAGAAGGAGGTCTTGTTTCCCTGAGCCAATATTAATACATTCCCCTTTGGCAATACTCCTGCAAAGGATTTGTTCCGAACAGAAAAACAGAGATTTACGACGTCACCCCAGGGATTGAGATAGAGAGCTCTTCAGTTACATCAGTAAGGATTGTACACTGAAATCCTACAGTCAGCTTTGGGAAATCTCTGTATTATAGTATATATCAGGCTTCTGGTTTTCAGTGTTTATTTGTTTCAATTTTTAAAGCTTTTATTTTTTTAATCGGACTTCAAATTCTACATAAAAATGTCTGAAATCAGGTTTTCTAGGAGACTATTTGCTTTCTATCTACTGCAATGAGACAATGAGAAGGTTTTATTCAGGTGCGTTCTTAAATTCCACTCCAAAAGGAATTTACCTTATTTTTTCGTTATACACATAACAGTGATTTGTTTAAGCTTTATCCAGATTACGGAGCTGCTGGTTTCACAAGCTCAAATCTTTCTGCCTTCTTTTCCCTTGCTGTCATCTCCAGTAAAATCCTCATAGACATAAATGTACTTCTCTTCCTTTTTAATTGAAGCCTCAATTCAGCTGGCAAGAATATATTAAACCCTGCCTAAAAGCACAATCCTCCTCATACAATCCTCTTTTAAAACTGAGTGCCCAACAAAAACGGATGAATACCGCTGCTTTGTAGTAGCTAGGACAGGCATAAAGAATTCAGCAATTTCGGATAAAAACAGGACCACTGCCTGTACAAACCCACAGGATACACAAGCAGGAAAGGTCAACCTGACATGAGTAACCTTTTCCAGTGTTTTCTCACGACATCAGGAGAATTTTATAAGCAAAAACCCCAAATCATTGCATTTCTATGTACATGTATACTTTACCGCATACTTGTACTACTGTACTTTAAAGTGCTAGGGCTGGCAATACCCTGATTTAAGTCCAACAAACGAGACAAGATAAGGACAAACATAAAATTCGCAAATGCCCTGACTTACCAAAAATACCATAGTCTCTGGATAGAGAGAGCTCTTACACAGCATCTTGAACCACAGCAATCCTCATAGGAGCGACATCTGCAGAGAAATAAAGAGATGGGGCATAAGGGGAGTGGTTGTCACTCAGCTTAAAATGGCATTCCCAACCCTGACACCATTCACATCCCTGACCAAAGCATTATTTATGACATTGCCATCAGTCTGGGAGGCAAAGCCTCCCAAAAATGTTCAAGGCCAAGTTGGATGCAGTTTTGAGCATACTGGTCTAGTTGAAGGTCCCCTTCCACTAGAGGGGCAGGTAGGAGCGTTGGACTAGATGATCTTTAAAAGTCCCTTCCAACCCAAACCATTCTGTGGGCCTATGAACAAGAACAGATTACCCTTGGCTGGATGAAGTTGTCAATCACATATGTGGAACAGCTCTCTCACTATTCAGGAAATTTTTGAGTGTTATTGAAACTACCTTCCTATATACCAAATCTCAAACCACCTCAAAAAGACTGAATGCAGTGTTCAATTCTATATAAAGAAGGACATGTTATAAAGAAAAGCAGTATTACTGTGTTTTCTTTCACAGTAAATGAACACGGGAGACCTCAAACAGACATCTGGGGTTTTATTCACTGCAAGAGACAAAGAACTGCCAGGACAAAACTTCAGATCACCCCTTCTTTGCAAATCAGCAGCTTCCAAGCACAGAAACTACTGAGTGCAAAGAAACACAAAGTGTACTGTTATTTGCAAGTTTAACATCCTTTTTTGCTTCTCAGAAGTTGCACTGGACTGCAACTGCCAACAACTCCCAGTACTAACCCAGGCTTTCCCCTAAAACCCCCAACATTTCAAATTAAAAATGGTTCTATTTCATATGAAATATTAAAGGTATTACAACACCAACAACTGGAAGCTAAAGGTACTACTTCACTAAAAGCCAGAACATAAATTAACAGCAACCTCTGAACAATTTCTATAGTAACTGCCATTTCCCACACCAATCAAACACGTTTCATAGGGAAAAGGACCAAGGTAACCCAGAAACTATGGTGTCAGACTTGGATGAAAATATGCAGATTATCATATCCACAAACCAAAAGAAAAGAGGAGGTGACCACAGCTGGACTGGTCTTTGTAAGGGTGTTCACATCTGTCTGTTTAATGCACATATTTATTTAAGCGTCTGATCTTAGAAAATCTGCTCAACTGCATGAGTGTGCTCTCATATTTGTATGCAAACTAAAAATCTTCAATTGAATAATTGTACAGTCAATTACACATTTACATGCTCAATTAACAAGCCTTCACTCACAAAACACACTGTCACATAGGCTTCAGCCTCTAACTGGGGCCAGAGGAGGATGCTCTATGGATACATCAACAGCTGTTTTGCAAGTGAAAACAGTTACATACTCTTCTGACGACAAATAAGTAGGATTTATTTAAGCAAGCTGGAGGGTCTGACATAATCACTATGGCAAGGTTCATTAATAGACTCAGGCACCCTGTTTGAGACTCAGGCAAAGGAAGTTGCTCATATCAAAAGAGAAGACACCCACTTTGCTGTCACTGAACCTGAAAGCGAACCATCTCCAACTTTTCTTCTTTAAAGCTTGCCAGGATCCTAACAACTGCTCATACTCAAAGCTACCAGACCTCATAAAACTACTAATAAGACTTAGCAACTCAGCATTAACTTCAGTCCTATCAGGACCAAGAAATTAAGCATCCCTCCATACTCCCACAGTGGATCAACCCAACAAGAGCTTTCAAGACGTATGTCAAATGCACAGACAGATTCAGGTCCCTTACAAAATGGGCTGGAAACTGCTGCCTTCTGTTAAACCAGTGGTCTACCATGACCCTTTTGCTCTTCAACATCCTTTTGGTTGAAGCATTTCAGCCACATTGATGGGCACCTGTCCCCTTGGCCGATGCTGCACACTAAGGACTTCGTCAGGCCAGAAAAGCAGAGAAGAAACAGCACCCATAAATCTAGAAGCCCTTCTTGAGGCCATTAAGGCAAAAATAAAAAGAAGGATTTTAGGGATGTTAGCAGTCTTTATCTCTGCCTCCTCATACTGGTTTTGTCAGTTCAGACACTTACACCTGACCATACACAGGATAGGGAGGGGATGTACCATTTCCCAGAGCCCCAAGAGCTTAACTTGTAATAAAGTTTAAACTAAAACAGAGAGGGCATGGAAGCTGGACTTACACCTCTCCTATGCCCAACCCTTGCATTGCTTATTTTGCATCTGTTTTCTCAAGAGCCAGAAGAGAAGGAAAACAGCTATTTTAAAATGTGTAATTACGGTAATTTAAACCGCCAAAATTAAAGGAGCATCTGTATGAGAAGCATAGTACTTGAATTTACTTTTTATTTTTAATCTTTAAATTATCTAGGCTTATGAGTCAGCACCATTTTAAAAGTCTCAATGGCTTAGCTTTTATTCCGGCAAAAGAGGGCTAAGGTACCAGCTGGAAGTCAGAAATGCTACACTGCTGAATGTTTATGAAGCTCCTGAGACCATTGACTGGCAAACAAACAAGCCATCAAAGAGAAGTTTTGTCTTCCACACAGATGACTGCACTTCCAAATGGTTGAAAACAGTGATGTAAAGGACGGAGGAGTCTCTCATTGTGCCTGTGTTTAGAGAAGCTCCAATTCCCGATAATCCAATTTCTGAGCCAACTCATCCAAGGCTAAGCACTGTACTTGCTGGGTGGATCTATGAAGGTAAACCTGTATCACAACTCAGAGGCAAATCCCTTTGAGATCTGACACTAGTAACTTTTTCACTTTTTAGCCATAAAACCAAACAGGGGTTTTATTTTGTGTGCCTGTGAGAATGGACACGTACCCATAGGTAGGAGCCTGGAATCAAGGACAATGCCATGATACAAACAGCCGGTTGTTATTCCCCACCACTTGATTGCAGCACCAAAAAAGACCGGAAGAACAAACAGCCCATTTGCTGATACTGCTGTCAGGCTACAGCAAAAGCTCTGTTGATCTCTTGTTCTTGACTTAATGTGCTATGAAAAAACAACACAGCTTCTGACAATATCAATTCAAATAACACATCAATTAACTTACTTGCAATAGCCGGATTTATTAGCAGGCAAAAAACAATAATAAAATCAGTTTATTAATGGAGTAACATAGAAGCTTAAGTATAATCATTCTTTGGTCTCTTACTGCCTGACAGCAAATCTCAGCAAAATTAAGATCCTGGTTCATTAAAAAAAAACCCAAAAAAACCCCACAAAAAAACCACCCGCAAAACATGATTAAGCACACAAATATATATTTATTGAATTGGTTGCATTTTCTTTAAATTACACTTGTGTTTTAGTTTTGCTTTACAGAGGACTGTTGTGCCCAATGCCAGTAGAACAACCTTACTATCGACCCAAACTGGTCCAAGCCCATCTCCTACATGAGACTTTTCTAAAGCCGATTTCCCTCTTTCACACATCATGATCCTAAGAATTGCATTTCTCTAGGGCAATGCTTGTTTCATTGATCAAAAGTTAACCCATGACATAGCATAAGATATAATCCATTAGTTGCTCTACTAATCTACAACTTCACCAAGCATACAGTCTCTCTTTTGAAAACTGTCTGCAATGTGATGTATGATTTAAAAGGTACATCTTTTCATAATTCAGTAGAATGAAAGGACTGTATCTGCATGTCTAACAACTTGTAGAAGAGCTTAACGCTACAAGCACCCCAGAGAGGTTATCCCAAGGAACTCCTTTTGCTACATGTGCCCACTGAAAATTGAAGTCAAAACACAGACCAACTCCGCACTCAGAAGTCCCGCTTAAGTAACTATTTCTGTGTCTCAAAATGGTTTAATCTCCCTCCAGAAAGATATTGCAACACACAGGCCACATTATTCCACAGGCATTCACTTAAGCTTTTGAGGAGCAGTAATACAAGCAAGGCCCTTGGCTGGTAGAGCAGAGTGATAGGTAACATCTGCTTTCCAGCCTTGGTCTTACAGTTGGTTGTGTCTCCTTGGCATGTACATGGCTTAAATTTCAGCAGAGACACAACTCCACCACAGTCAACTGCAGTTACAGGTTCTCAGCACCCAAAAGCACTTCTTTTCTTATATGTGGCAAAGGTGGTCTCAGCGCATGCGAGAACAGTGCCTTGTAAAATGTAGGTCTGATTTTGGTGAATGGATAAGTAGATCATAATAAATATAACTGCTTCTTAGATGAATGCAGACGTGACCTCAGTGGCACATCGGCACTTGAGAATAAAAACACTGCTGCTGGTACCCAGGAGAGCACTAGAGACAGAGTTATACAGATACTCAATAAATCACCCGGCCCGTAACCACGTAAGAAAATGTAAGGCAAAAAGGAAGAAAAGGTCTGTAAGGTAATTTTTTTTTCTAGAGAATAGATGCAACAGAAACAATATTTGCTCAGGTTAGAGTCCTGTCTGCTTTGATGCAATTAAAATCTCCAATGAGACAAGATACTTGGCTCTCGTCCTTCACACAGACATGAAAAACAAGAGCAGGAAACACCTGAAAAAGGGCTTATTTCTCAATTACTCTTTAGGTGAAGAGCCTATAAACACTGTCTCTGTGCAAGAATTCAGCAGAACATGGCAAATCCTCACCCACTTCTGATGGGATGGGAAGTATTTGCTCAGCTGCTCCTATGAAACCAACCCTTCTCACAATCTGCTGCTACCCAACAGCTTATCACGACCCCAGCCCTCTCTTCTCAGACCCCAAGAGGAAAGCCACCCTACAGAGGGTTTGTTGTCTGTAAAGGCAGCAAGCCTCACCACATGGCTTTCTGGCCAGCACATATCCATCAAGAAATTTTCTCTGCTCCCCTTGTGGCAGAACCTAGCAAGAACTGACATGGTTTGGGCTTTATCCACTGGTATACAGAACTTTAATTAGCCATTTTTCAACACAGGCTCTTCTTTCATAGAACAAAGCAAAGAAACAACATAGCTTAAGGCTCTCACAAAAGTAAGCCACAGATAATGTGTATGACAAGTTCGAATTTTCTGGAGGTGGAATTGTAAATTTCTCATATCAACA